ATTGCACCTTTACATTCATTTTTAGGAATATACCTCCAACGTTCTGTATTTTTTTGCAGAAACTTTATTATCTACTCAACGAATGAAAAATTAAAAAGATGCGGTTAACCTAAAATGATTTTTGTTCATTAGCGGTTTAAGGAGTGAGCAGGGTACTTAGTCTTACTTGCAACAATTGCACACCTGTCTCGTACACTTACACAAAAATAATACTAATTTTCGAACAACAAAAAATACAGTCACGCTATCCAGGAGGCCCGTATTCATCGTGTTCTTATTGAACTTTTTGAACCGGTGCGTTAAAAACCGATTATACAATAAATTGTTATGATTGCCCATCCCTAATCAACTATCCAATTTTGAAATTACCCTACCTGTATATCCCATGTAAATTTAGTTCTCAAAATAAATTAATTTATACAGGGTGACTTCGACGTTGAGTCATTTATTTTAACAGTGAGTAGATCTGATCAAAAGAAATGTTTTTTTCCTTTACCATTTTTCTGGTAAAATTAAAGTAACAAAGTTATAGCCCTTTGGAAGTTTGAGTACCGCCCTGTCTCAATAATAATATTATGTGCTCGTGTTTGGCGACAACGGATATAATTCGCCTTATCGGTTCATCGCATCGGAAACAAAAAAGCGAAAGAATTTGGATCGATGTTTTTACAATTATTTCATTCAGTTGTATACAGTCAGTGTCAGTCGGTAGTGGATAGTGGTGTCTGTTGCGTGGCTCAAACGAAATAAAAAATGGCACATGTTTATGCGGATCGGTTTCCCAATCGAGTGCAACCAACCCCTCGTGCCTTTGTTAATGTAGTACAACGGGTTCATGAATCATTTGACTTAAGACCTCACATATGGACGGCATGCCGGTGCTCCAAGACCTCACGATCAAATACAGGTCCGCACTGAAATACTTGTCGGGAGGATACTTTATAAAATAAGGTAAAATTTTTCTTTTAATTTTTTTTTTATTTTTACACACATATTTTGGTTTATCTTCCTTCTACAATCATTATCTGAAAATTAATGACTCAACTTCAAAGTCACCCTGTATATGGATATGTTCATAAAGATGATCACATGGAACTTGAAGAACGTTAAAACTTTACGTCAAAATTTGATGTTTGTGGTTTGAAAATTGAAAAATTCGTGCTTTCAACCCTTTTAACCAGGTGCTTTATTTTATGTAAGAAAATAATTGTAAGTTTCTTAAATCTGACCATATGAACCTCGAGTAATATCAAAACGTGACTTCAAATCTTGAAGCAAATCCTCTATTTAGTTTTTTAAATGTTTGTTGTTCTAAAAGAAATCCATGCTTCCGGTCATATTGTATCGCTTCCGAAGAGGTTCAACTGCACTATATTCCCTTCAGCTGTCAATTGAGTAGAAATCGAAAATACTATGTAAGGTCAGACAACATATGAGTATTCCTAATCTATGCGTGTCGCTGTCCGTGTGACATGGTACATTTTGAGTTTACTTTTTATTGATCTTCGCAATATAAACTATAGCATAAATGACGTAACCACCACGAACCGAGAAAAGAAGACTATAATTCGTTCTTGATTCTGACACAATGTATTGATAATTAGGAGTACTCGGAAAATGTGATTCAAAGAATTTCAACATATAATGGAAGTCAATCAACCGCAAGCTCTCCTGGTTCCCTAATGAAATCCAGAACACAACACGTCAGAAATAATTTAACGCTGTTCTTGTTTTCGTCAACGGGGTACCTACATGTGTTTCTCATTTGAGGATTCATTAAAAAATCGTCTGAAAATTTTAATTGACCACCCATTTGGGTGGTTCATTGTTAATTTAATTTTGGGAGCGGAGCGACACATCATCCGTGGTAACGTCGTTTTTCTGATTTATTGTTGACATCGGACATAGCTGTATCATTATGATCAGATTTCAATGGTGATTCAGTTTTATTTATATAACATAATTTATAGATCAGTTCGTAAACTCATAAGTAACATGAAGTATACCCATTGATCTATTCCAAATAGACACTTTTACCTCACACGCCTATTGGCGGGGAAGAATTGTAATCGCGAAAATGAGATATTATGTTTTTTGGTTGTTATATGATATGCACATCACGAAAAATCATGTCACTCATTTCCATCGATCTGGCTGACTGTCGGTCTTTCCGCTAATCTTATAACCGCCTATAACACTGGACAACAAATATTAGTTTTTTAATTGTATCTTGTGGGAAAAGTGCACTTCTTTGTTAATTTTGGGGCGCTGAATCCAAAAATGACAATGAAATAAAAAAATTAGTTGCGGTTTTTAGAAAAAAAACTTTTTATTTTTAAGGATATATTAAAAAAAGTAATAAGATTCATATACTTATAAGAATCACTATATGCGCTGTCTTTTGTTGTTCTTTTATGGATCGTTTCTGGAGCATCTCTACCAAGAGTCCAACAGTAGTCTGCAAGCATGGAAGGATTCCACTTTCCCTGGTACCATTTCCATTGTTCCCGATGAAAACGTTCGCCGTGCTCATCACTTACGGCTCCGCAATTGTCAGGAAAAAAGTCCAGGTGTGAGTGTAGGAAATGTATCTTAAGAGACATATTACAGCCCATCCTTTGATACGATGACAGCATATTTTTGACAAGGGTTTTATAGTTGTCAGCTTTTCTATTTCCCAAGAAATTAGTGACCACCAGACGGAAATCATTCCAAGCAGTTTTTTCAATACCTGTTAAAGTGGTTTCAAACTGTGTATCTTTCAAAATATTTCGAATCTGTGGCCCAACAAAAATACCTTCTTTAACCTTTGCCTCACTTAGTCTTGGAAATTTCTGACGCAGGTATTGAAAAGCTGACCCATCTCTATTTAATGCCTTGACAAAGTTTATCATTAGGCCCAACTTGATATGCAGTGGTGGTAATAAAAATTTTTTCGAATCTACTAATGGCATATGCTGTACATTTTTTTGACCTGGCTCTAGAAATTGACGAACAGGCCAGTTTTATCTGGTGTAATGAAGTGCCTTTGCCCGACTGTCCCATTCACACAAAAAACAGCAAAACTTTGTGTAGCCTAGCTGCAGCCCAAGTAAAAGTGCAACAACTTTCAAATCGCCACAAATATGCCATTGGTGCTCATCGTATTTTATGCATGTCAATAGGTACTTCATATTGTCATATGATTCTTTCATGTGAACTGCATACCCTACAGGAAGAGATGGTAAAATATTTCCAATATGCAACAACACTGCCTTTAAACTCAATGTTGAACTGTCTATAAACAATCTCCATTCTTCTGGGTTATAGTTTATATTTAAAGGCGCCAATAAGCCGTTAATGTTACTGCAGAAAACCAAGTTATTCTCCATATTGAAAAATGGTTCTAAGTCTTTGTGTCGTTTACGAAAAACACATACCGAAACATCGTCTTCTAACAAGTTCCACTGCTGCAGTCTTGATCCAAGTATCTCTGCCTTACATTTTGGACATTCTAAATCTCTTACAAGATCATTTAATTCTGACTGTGTTATTTTGTGCGGTTGGTGGCATGACGTGCTCGGTATAAAATCAGGATCTCTTGACGTTGATGGCATATCTTCTTCCTGACGAATCACTCGATCGCCATGATCTGATTCGTTTTCTGATTCGCAAATATAGGATTCTGGGGGTTTTGGAATAGGATTTTCGTCACTGTGAGGCACAGGTCTCATCGCAGATGGTATGTTTGGGTAGTTAATAACCGATTTTTTTTTCTTGGACATACCTGTGGCTCGTCCAACACAAGGTACCACCATGCAAAAGTAACAATCATTAATATGATTTGTAGGCTCTCTCCAAACCATTGGGACAACAAAGCGCATAGACCGTTTTTTGCCATTTAACCAGCTCCTCAGACTTGAAGCACATGTATTACAGCAGATGTGGGGTGCCCACTGTTTGTCTTGATCACCTAGTTTACAACCGAAATAAAGCTGATATGCCTTTGTTATTAGCGGAGTAATAGACCGTCTCTGAGACGCAAAAGTCACATCACCACACACGTAACAAAACTGATCTTTCGAGACATCTTGCATGAACGCTGTCAGCCAACTGAGGAAAAAATGGCTAATATAAAACAATATAATGTACACGTATCTATAACGTAACACAATCATGCCGATTACATCATCTTTCTTTGCCGAATATAAAAATGTAGCACGTGCATTCTTGTGAATTACAGTATATTAACACTGTCACAGCAGGAACACATATAATTACCGTATCTCTAAAACTTGAACTAATATTGAAAAAATAAGTTTCATTCCGGTTTTAGCACATTAAAAATAGTAATATTTTGTTGATTTTATTTAGGATATTTTTTGGCTGTTGATCAGTGTAATGTATGAAGTTCCGTTCGGATTTCGATGAACGCAATATTACTACTATTCCAAGGACGCAAAAGCTTTTTCGCTTTTGAAAATCGGCTTAGTCGCGGCGGAGAAAAAACCTGAAAACGCAAAAATGAAAATCGCACCAACTTCTTTTTCCGACGTTTTAAATGATCTTGATCATTTCCATAAAAATTCTTATAGGGGTTGAAATTGGAAGGTTGGGGGTTGTAGGCGTTCTCGTAAAATTTTAGAACGAAAATGGGTACTTCTGAATAAAAAAGAAAGGCAAAAAAGATTAGTCATCTGAAAAAGAATTAGCTAAACCTAAAGCATTTTGAAATTTTGAAAACACGGCCGTGCTTTTTCTCACTCCTAGGATCAAACGTTCTACATCATCAACTTAATGATTTTTTAATGAATTTCTCCGAATTTTCAGAATACCACCCGGAGTTCTTTCCGGAGCACGACAAGAAGTCCCTAAGCTTGCAACCGGACCTGACGCAAACAGTACCACCCTGTTACGAGTACCCGTACACTGCAGCCTCGACTGCAGCGCCATCCGTTGCCAGATCAGCTTCGGAGCACCACTATGACGTGCCGCACCTAACGTCGGGGAGCGACATCCAAATGTCACCTGCTACAAGTTCGACGCTCGAGTCCTCTAGCGGCAAGAGGAGTCAGATGAGCGGGTTCACCAATCAGTGTAAGTATAAATGAAGAAACAGCAAAAAAATGTACATAGTTTGTCAACTTCTTTTTCAATTTGCAACGTTCAGGGATGTCTACGTGCTCTACTGTGCCCACCTCGACGTTTCTAAACGGTCTTTGTACGAAATAATCAGACCTAGGCGGCGCGGGATGAAGACCTCCAGGAAACTCAAATGCAATTAATAAACACACCAAGCTTGAAATGGATACTGATGCACGTCATATCTTTTGGTGTATGTGTCATACAACTTTAGGAACGTCCTGTATAGCCGTTGACATAAAACGCTGAAGCGTTGTTTTCTAAAAACTTTTCTTGAGAAAATAGTAATATACTTCAAGATCGTATAACTTTAACACAGCATTTGTAACTTTTTCAGCTGATTCAACGTATGAGGTGGCGACAGAACAAGTGACCCTACCAATCTCGTCTTTACCAGCGGCGTACGCAGTTACCCCTACTGTAAGCGGCAACTACACTAGCTCCACCCTTTCGCATTGTGGGGGATTTTTGAACCTTTCGGAATCTGGAGTCAGCCTTCTTGTACCAGAGGGCGCAGTCTCTAGGTATGTACTTTTTATTACGTAACTGCATCTACAACTGTCAAATTGCAGTTCCTATGTCTTTCGATATCTTATATCAGATTGGGAAATCCATACTGTGCGTGGCTTGCACTAGCTGCATGTGTTCCCTACTTTGAGATTGCGACATTGCTCCAAACATGGCACCCAAAACACTGGTATTACGGATCTTGAAAGGAGACATTTTATCGTTTTTGTTTTTTTTTTTGACATAACATAGGTTTTTGTGACATAACGTAGGTTTTTCTACAAGATGTTAACTTAGCTCCAGCTGATGGACACTTATTGTGAACTCGTTTTGTAGTTATACGTGTTGTCTAAACGTCATGTTATTTATGAAAAATGAAAAGGTTATTACACGCTCACAGCGATCATAGCGAGCAAATTTGGAATGAGCTATTTCCACCATAAAAACGTCTGCAAGATGAAGAAATACCCTTTATTACGGAGACAAGTTGCTAAATGCAATATTTATGCTCACTGATGTTTTCTAGTTCATATTGTAACAAAACATAGTTTTTACTGTACAAAGTACTTGTACATTAATCTATAACATTTGTACTAATTTATGTCAATTTATAACCATGTTGATTGGACTACGGCATTCCGTGTTGTTTGACTATCTCTACTACCACCAGCTGCTTCCGCCATCTGGTCTGGCATTTATGTAGTGGGTGGATAGTCCCAGATGCTCTCCAACATTTTCTAGCAAAAACGAGATTATTTCTAGATAGCACCGCAAGCGCTCACGCACGTGATCGCAATCGCTTTAGAAGCTTCGCACGCTGCAATACATGATCGGGTAACTCTGGTTGCCTAACGTGAACATCGCGAGACCGTTCCACGCCACTCAAGATCCCGGCTGTACGAGGGCGTTACAATATCTTGTTTCAAAAGTAAAGGTGCTATATATAGCATCCTACAAGGTTGTAACCCACAAGCCATGTTAGCTAAATGCGAGTTGCAATAGTTTAGGTAAATCTCAGCAAAGCGGCCGTTGCATGATTCTTCTATGGGTGGCGCTCAGCAATAGGTCCATAAGGTTTTCTACAGGGAACTATTCCCGAACCGTTCTGCACTAGCAGTAGCCCCAGGTTACGTTTTTCTATCAACTTTTATCGACAGACTTTGGATGTTGTCAATTTGATGTCCATTTAGTTCCAATCTGTTTGTTAATTGTATATTTTATGTTTCGTATAGGTCAAGGAAACAAGAACTCTTCCTGTCGATCCTCAACGAGGACTGCTTCAGGCCGAAACTAGCAGAGGGCCTAACCCAACTGTCGCCTGTGGTCTCTTGCGGTCCCAACATCTCCCTCAACAAGTCCGTGGTGCTCAAAGTTCCTCACTGCGCCGAGATCACCAGGAATAACTGGTGCGTCTCGGTCCTTCAGAGCGACTGCAGCGACTCGCAGTGGCAGAATGCTGTCACGCTGGGACAGGAGACCATCAACACCACAGTTTTCTGTCAGTTGGATAAGAGCGCGGCCTATCTGGTTACTGAGAGTTTATCCAGGTGAGTGAGGAAAACATTTATTGATTTTTTTTTTTATTTGACCAGGCCCAACCAACAATGAAAGGTCAAGTTTAGGTGCGGTCTGGAAATGTCCGTTATTCCTCATAACTGAACCGCCACTAAAACAATTTTTATAACTTATCAAGTTATTGCTACGCCCACTGGCATTCGAAGTGTGTTGGTCAACCATTAAACCTATTCGTAATTTTTTAACGGTGTTCATTCGTCAATCAGGGATCCGCGATATTTTTGTTTTTGCTTTCATTTTAAAGGATTATATGTCTATAAATCGTCCGTAATGTATGAAAAAACAGAAACGAAGCTTAACAGTTTAAACTTACCCGCGAATACTACTAATACGGCAACAGAAGCTTCTGCTCTAGTCAGGAAAACAATAGTGGAAACTCTTTCTTAATTTCACCGATGCATGAACTATCAAAGAGTGCGACAGTGTTGCCGAATCTATTGATTTTTCGGTATTTCTACCGAAATAGGACCTTATTTACCGAAATACCAAACACGTCCTCATTTTCCACGTTTGCTTAAAGTAATTCAGATATGTCCAGATGTTCTTACCCAAAAGGAGCTGGAGCCAAATACAAAGCTGAAGAAATGAATTACTTATATGTAGTTTTAAGCCCCAAACCAACCATACATTTGCATACACTCAGGCAGTAGGGCACACGAAGAACGTAGATTTGGGTTGCCTATAATTATGTACGCACATCCCTTACTCCGCTTTTCCTGTATTGGTTTTTGTGCGTAAAACAAGACAACCGGACAAGCAATAAGAAAACCAAAGATGCCAGGTGACGAAGCTTCAAGTTCAGGAGTAAAACAAAAATATTCACAATCTTATAACCACGAATGAAGAAAGGAGTTTCCTGGATCGTTCCAAGAGCGACTGATATGCTCATTGTCTAACTTTTAATAGAGAAGACAATATTTTTTCAGGAAAAGATGGTCTCAAAAAACCTGTATTGCGTGTGGGCGCGCAAAACAAAAATACTTTTTTTCATAAACGGCGCTGTGTGACTCAAAGGTACTTGAATCACCCCTGGTCTTGCGACGACGCATATTTTTTTCTAATTTTATCTTCAAATGTACCGAATTTCAACGGCACTATCTAGCGATTTCATCTTTTTCGGTTCGACAACACAGGACTGCGTAAACCAGAGCAAACAGCTAAACCAGGGCAAACAGCTCTTCATATAACATCTGTCAAATGTTAGGTATTGTAAGTGTAACAAAGGTTAAACAAAATAAAGTTAATCATAGAGAATTAAGGTGTTTCACTAAGGGCGTACTAGCCCAAGTTTACATACACATTACATTTTGTCATAAACAGAAGGAACGAGTAACTTTTGACTACTCCTGTAACGAATAAGGTTAAAGATAACAAACCCATCATAGACAAGTCTTCGATGGTTTATGAAGATGTTATTTTCGTATTTAATTAATTGTCATGCATCATTCTATTGTCAATCCATGCTGTCATGTATTTAATATTTGGAAAACATCACATGACGTAAATTAGCTAAAATATCAAGTCTTGATTACAAAAGAGCTTTTGCTACTGATACAAAATTTTATAGCTGTGAATTTATCTTTCAGTTACAAAATAAATTAATACCTGTTTTTATTTTTTCAGGTATGTGATCGTCGGGCGATCCGTCTCTGGCAACGCCATAAAGAGGCTGAAGCTAGCTGTGTTTGGCCCAAAGCTCTGTTTCCAATCGTCACTGGACTACAGCGTACGAGTCTACGTCTTGGAAGACACTGAAAGCTCTATGGAGACTGTATTTGGTCAAGAAAAGCGTCTTGGCGGCTATCTCTTGGACGAACCTCGCAGTATCACCTTCCAAGATGGCGGCCAGAGCCTCTGCGTGTCCTTGGATAACATCAGCGACGGCTGGAGGGCCAAGACAGCTTCCAATTACCAAGAGATACCATTCAGACATCTTTGGCAAGCTAGCAGCAATAGCTTGCACTGCTCCTTCGCATTGGAAGCATTTGAAATCAACAGAGTACTCAATTTCAAACTCAAAGTCAACCAAAAGAGCTTCGACTACATCCAGGTGTTCGATATTACGTGCAAAGATGACGGAGAGATGATCGAGAAGACCAGTTCGGGAAAGTTCGTGCCAAAAGTGACGATACAAAGTGAAACCAGCAGGTCTAATGACTCCAAAAAGTCAGTAGAGTATGCTAAAAGTGCCAAAAGACTAGAACCGCTCGCTAAAAACCTCATACTCACAGACAGAGGTGTTTCAACGTGTGATGATTTTAACTTTAGGTTGAATAAATCTTTACGTAAACAGTTATGTCAATGTCTTGATCCTCCAACTCAAAGGGGGAATGATTGGAGAATGCTCGCGCATGCGCTAGCTGTCGATAGATATATCAACTTCTTTGCAACGAAACCTTCCCCTACAGACTGTATTTTGGATTTGTGGGAAGCTAGGAACAGAGATAGTAATGCTCTGACGGAACTAAAGCAAATATTCACAGATATGGAAAGGTTTGATGCTGTGACTGTTCTAGATAATTCGTTAGGACCTAACTGGCTGTAAATTTGTATTTTTTTCTTCTAATATGCGATGGTCGTTCGGCATGCTCTGTCAGCTGTCATAAATTTAACCAAAATACGAGTTGAACAGTGTTGCCAAATGATACCATGCATAACTCACGTTTCTTGGATCTTCTTTTGTTTTTCATTAAAACTCAAATGTGAACATACCCTAATGCGGGAACGCACTATTGTCAGATCACGTGAGCTCACAAATTGACATGTAAATCAGGATACATGGTGACGTATCACGCTTCTTTCGTAAAGAAGGGTGTAAGAAATATTTAATTAACCCAGCAGTTTAGATTTTGATACGAATAGCCATGACGTGACAATAATGTGTTTCTGCATTCACTTTCCTGTTCACTTATCAGTGATAGGAGAATTGTCACATCTCAAGCCAAAAGAAGTATGTGCCGAACGACTACCTCAAGATGAATAACTTTGTATATATTAGTTTTAAAATACACGTATGAACTTGCTTTATTTAAAATCGCTTATATTTACGAATTTATAATTATGTATATGATGTTACTTTTATTGTATGTTATGTAATGTCTTAAGAGACAAAAAAAATTAAGGACCATTATTCGGTTTTGTGCAATTATTTGAAATAGAGATATTTTAGCCTCATTTTGATGGTAGAATTTTGAGAAATGATTGCATCTGGACGTTACATTGGATTCAACCTTCACATTTCCGCAGAACACTTTTTTATTTTGAAATCTCTGAAATCAAATCCTCATTCAACAGTTTTAGTGGTTCATATTTTGAGATGATTATATTTTTGATTCATTTGTCAAACGTGAATCATAAGAAAGAATACAGTTGGTTAGTGGCAGATCTTGCAATGATTTGTACAGAGTTTTGAAAATGTTAATAAATAATCAGAAGCAGTTATTCAACAAGTGCACCTTTTGCTGCTTATTCAGTCAGTGGTGAGGTTTTGTTTTTTTTTTCATTTTGAAGAAAAAATCCATTACACTTTTTTGTATATTTTAGATGTTTCTAGTTATTTAAAAAAAATTCCAGCAATGGGAGCATAACCCTCCCTAAACACCCTTGATCTGTCACAGTAAATAGAGGACATATTTTACAAATATTTTCAACAAATCTATAGTTGGCCATATTTATTTTTACAGTCAGTATACCCTTGCCTCTTTGTTGAAAATATTTGTTCACTTGTTATCTATAAAGCACCAGATAATCTAAAAGTTATATAAAATGTAAGTTTGAGTTTAGAACGTAAAACAAAAAAGAATTATATAGAATTTTATACAAAAATCAAAAGGGTAGTTTTTTAGATGTTTTAGATATGATGTTTTGTACAAAAATCAATGTAACATGTAGAACTGGTTCTACGTTGTACTATGTATTTTAGAATATATTAATAGAACAGAACAATGTATATATGGTCAATATATAGACAACTTTTTTTGTATATCTTGTTTTATTCCTTTGTCTTCAATCTTTATAATCTCCTTCATTACACACCTTTCCCTGACAACGATTTGAAGAGCAAAAAACTGGGTTATTGAAAAACCATAGGTTGTAGGCAAAGCACGAGGGGGCAAAAAATTCACTCTTGGGTGTGGGAGGGTACACAGTTTCCTTTGTCTCAGGTTGCTCCGAACTGTGACACTGGCCCTAGCTGCAGGGGCTGTCTGTTTTCATAAAGCAGCACAAACCACTTTGCAGGGAAAAGTCAAAATTATAAAAATATCTTTTTTTTTGTTGTAGCTGGAGACAGTATGGCTCTACAGGATAGGCTATCTCTACAATATCAAAAATAAGTAGGAGCTAAGAGGACAGTCAAATTCTAAGAGAGACAGCTGACCTGTCCTCCCCATCTTTATGTGGGTACATTTAAGGCCATTTATAGATGAAGTATAATTTTGTACAATATGGGTCTCATCACGTCAAGTTTTTCAAAAAAGCTTTTAAACCAGTGACTATATATCATGCAATTATGGCCACAATTTCCACAAAGGATTTGTTTTAGAAGTACTGTTGGAAAGCGTATGGCTTTAAAGTGATGTTCAAACTATTATTTGAAAACTTCTACTTACTGCTATATCCAGCTCTCGATTTTCACATTAGACATACAATCATCGAATATAAACTAAAAATAAGTATTTACCTAGGTCAAAAAATAGAACTGATCATCCAGGATCCTTTTTGAGGAATGTTGTACAAAGATCTTCTGTGTTGATTAAAGGCAGTTTAAGTTCTTAGTTCAATTTATGATGGGACATTCAGTTTGTATTATAATTCAAAAACACCCTTTATTCCCTTTATAGAAAAAAGAATGTTTATGAACTCAAAGCTTACGCCTGTCATGTTGACAGTAGATTTCATTATGGGGTTTTGGGAACTGACATTAGGGTGACACTTGACACTGGGCAAACGTTTACGTGTGTTGCCCAACAAACCCTAAAGCCCCACATAGATGCGTTACAGACTCGCTGACTTACGAACGGACGGAGGCGAATTTTAGTAGAACCTGTGCAATTTAACAAACAGGAATTTAAAGGTATGTTTGCTTTAAATTCAAATTTGTTCTATACTCTTATAACTTATTTGACCTGCCCCTAATGTAAAAGATAAATGCTGCCTCACTAATATGAGAATCATAATGGCAGCCAACGAGCTAACATCTCGTGGAACAATTTTATTGGAAATCTAATGCCAATCTTTGACTTTGCTGTTTTGTGGCTTTGACACTCTGCCAGTCAAACTTCGCTGACGGATGTCGATATTTGGCGATCCTAACCTAACTTTTTTGTTTTGGTTATGGTTAAAAACTGCAGGAAGTTCCAAACAAGTTGAAAAGCTTGAATCAAAATATATATTTTAAATAATATTAGATAGGGCGTCCGGTTTACATTATATTGCATTGCCTTTGGAATTAGTTATGCAATGGCAGAGCAGTACAAGTAAGTTTGAAGGACTAAACTGTACACAATAACTTGGTTATACATCCATTGTACACTGTGTACTGCAATAATACAATTCACTGCATGAAGCTTGTTGCATCTATACTGATGCAACCAGTCATGGAAAGAACTTGCATCAGTCATATCTATTTTAGGTCACTGCATCCTGTTAAATACTATAGAGATTACTTATCACACAACATACGACCTGATGGGAGAGTGTTTGATACATTCAGACCAGTGATTCTTAATACAGGTTCAATAGATACAGCAGATGGATCTGCCTTATCAAAACTTGGACAAACTACTGTGGTTTGTGGCATAAAGGCTGTAAGTGTGCTTTAGATTTTCCAAAATTGCTCAAAAAGTACATAGCCAACCGTTCTGAACGTGGTATGGCTCTACTCAAAAACTAACTTATTTAGTACTATTTAAGAATTTGTTATCGAGTCCTAGTATATTACATGCGTTCTTTTCTTTTAGGAGCTATGCAAACCAAAAGCTGAATCACCAAACAAAGGCTTTGTTGTTCCAAACTTGGACCTTCCACCACTTTGTTCCCCAAAGTTTCGTCCAGGGCCACCAAGTGATCAAGCACAAGTCCTCAGCCAACTGATCAATGATATAATTGAAAATTCACAATGTATTGATCTTACTGATCTCTGCATATTTCCTGATAAGCTGGCTTGGTGTTTGTACATTGACTTCATCTGCTTAGATTTTGATGGATCTGTAGTTGATGCTTGTATTATTGCTTTGGTTGGTGCATTGAAAACAGGTAAGGCTTATATTCATGAATGCTTTGACGACATACAATAATGGACAAAAGTATATAGACAAGTATGAATATTTACCTAAATACTTCATTGGTCCATAAACAAATGAGTTATTAGTAGAAAAACTAAATTCCTTGTTTTTACATTATCTGCAATGAACACAATACAAGTCTCTGAATGTAAGCACTTTTTTATGAGGGACAAAAATATGTAGACATATTCTTTTCAATATTAGTTTAGTACAGTTTCGTGTCAAAAGAGGATCAGTTTGTGTTTATCAAGTATTGTGGAATAAGTTGAGTGATTTTAAGGCCATGCCGCGTGGTCCAGAAATTTTTTTCGATGTGAAAACTAAGATCATTGAGTTATACAAAGATGGTCAATGTCAAGTCAACATTGCCAAAAATTTGAGGCTGAAACGTAAAGCAGTTTGGGCAATATTGAACAAATATAAACAAAAAGGTACCTTGGAAGCCTCTAAGAGAAGTGGTCGGCCTAGAAAACTAAATGCTAGATCAGTTAGATTAACACGTTCGCTGCGACCTGCCTCGCGCCGCGCGCATGGTAGCGGCTAAACGATTTTAGGTGCTGCACAAGCGAAGCGCGGATTCGCGTCGTAAGCCTATTGGATGTGCGTTGTGTAATTGAAAACTATTTCATATATACATTTTCTTCTTCTATCTCGTTTTTTTTTCGTGCAGTAACACGAAACATGTCTTGAAACCCTATTAAAGATTTTTCTGTGGGCTAGAAAAATCATCACTCGTTTCAGACATATTTCCATCAAACTGCTCACTTCCATCTGAACTGGGAACATAATTGTCTGAGTCACTTAGATTCTCGATTTCACTCCCCGAATTGGCAAGAATATCATACAGTTCTTTTTCTGTAAGCCCTTTATTACGGTTACAATACGTTTTCACTCGTTTTGGACGTGAACAACCTGCTTCCACATCATCCGCCATTGCGCAATGTAAAAATAAACGAAACTTGATCCTACGCGTAAAATAGTCCAAAAAGATGTTCAATATGTAGGTGACCAAACAGAAAGCGAGTGCGGTACAAACTGACAACACCACAGTCTTGTGAGTTTATATCAGCCAGAAGCGCGGATCCGCGCCCGCCGCCTTTCGTTAAACATGTCTGACGCGGATCAGCGTCTTTCGCAGTGAACGTGTTAATAAAAGTAATTTTGTCCAAAGATCCGTTTAAAACCCCAAGACAAATAAAAGTATACAGGTTGGTGTATTAATGAAACAGGTTAAAAAAGAAATACAGCACAATATTAATTTGTCTATATAATTTTGTCCATTACTGTACATATAACAAGTGTTTTTAAAATGCAACAAAATGCCCATTAGCTCAAATGAAATCCAATTCATTTGGGGTATGCGCAATGCCATCTTTTAGTGATGCTGACATTATACCTGAAGGGTTACCAAGTACAATACATTATTCTAAGTATTAACTGAAATTTAATTAAATATATATTTTCTTATAATGTACAGGTCTGTTGATGGCTCGGAATGATTGGCCAACACTGCAAATGCTAATGAGAAAATCATTTTGTACCTGACTGTTAAACCATGACAACAGAAGTATGAAAGGGTACAAATTAACATCAATAGTTTATTTTAAACTACTGGCAATGTTTGTGAAATATGTTTTTCAAGAAAAAAGTATCCTGAAACTAAAGATGCAAAACTGCTGGTTGTAACATTCTCATTAAGAATAGAAACAGCAAAGTTGACAAAGGGATATACATATTAAGACATAGATCAACATAGACAAGAATGAATTTCAATAGTATCATGATTTAAGTGGCATGGACTTTCTCTAGTTTCGAGCCCTCATAAACCATATTTAAAATATGCAATACTTAGTAAGAATGTGTAAAAAACCTGGTTGTGGGATTTTTTTTTAGATTATACAAAATTAGTTGCAGTTGCAAATCATTCTTGTTGCTGATTTGTGTCTTTTGAGCAAAAATGAGGTCGTTTCAGTCTCTAGCACATATAGGGGGCCATAAAGTAAGCTCTAAGTTAAACTACACAAATGTCTATTAAACACCATAAGTATTTAGAACATGTTAAACAGTTAAATTTCATAGTTGAATGAAGTTCACAAAAGTCACTACTATTTTGTTGACCAACATACTTTTTTATAAATGTTACAAACTAAATGTTTGCAATTCGGAAGCAAAAAATCCCACAGAAAGTGCTTGTAGTGTCGCCTTATTCTCAAATCTTTTGTAGATAAATGAACATCAGATCTTTTGGATTACAAATAGCTTGATCTGTTACCTAGAAGTGCATTCAAGATTTCACACCCTATATAAATAGTTCTATTTTGTTCCAGTGAAATTGCCATTTGTAGATTATGATGCTGCTTTGGATAACATACAAGTGAACTTAGAAAACACAAGGCCCTTGCCAGTACATTCTATTCCAGTTTCAACAACATTTGCAATTTTTGATGAGTGAGTGATACAGTCTTTTATCCTATCAATAAAAAATCGTCCAACAGAAGGCCTAAAAAACAGCCATACAATTAAATATTGATATCTTCTCATATTCTTTCAGCAAAATAATTCTAGCAGATCCAACAGTTGAAGAGGAAAATCTGTGCACTGGGATTATTGTTATAGTACTGAAAGATGATGAGTTATGCTGTGTTCATAAGCCAGGAGGCAGTCCATTATCATCAGACGAACTACTGGGCTGCATAGAGAAATCCAAAAAGAAGGTTCCTTTGATGAGGGACCTCCTAAAGACTGCATTGCAAGATGTAGGATAAGTTTATCTGGAATACGGTTTGGTTTTGGAATAATGCTGTTGATAATAAACGATTTTTATACAGATTTTTGAGATAATATCGTTCTTATTAATGATTTTCCTTAATTGAATACAAAAATTCTACTCATTATGTACCTACAAAGGGTACTACAAAAGTGTTGCAACAGGCCACAAGTCATGGCCTATTAATGTGATGATAATGATTATCAGTCAAGAGAGCATGAACATCTGGATCTATAACAACCATTTAGAAGAGGCAAAAACATAATCACGTTTGATGGATGTCCCTTAACATGAATCAAGAGGTTGCTAAAATTAATTTTTTTCATTACGCAAGAGGCTTTTATTTTGATAAAAAAATCCTTAATAATACTACTGTAAAGTTGTTTCTGTTCTAGTTATGTGATTAATATCTGAAAAACTACAGATCGATCCTTACCGATATGTATAGGGGTATACGGCAATAACGGTCTTTTTTGCCGATATAAATCACAAAGTTAATAGCGATTGTTATTTTTTGAAAAAAGAACAATCCATGGAAAACATATATTTTAATAATACTGAAGTAACGTCTGTCTAGTATGTGTATAATAAAACGATACTTAACCGCCATTTTCAGTCTTCGGTTGTACCTGAATCGTTTCATGACTGCATTTGAATGAATGGGGTCCGTTCTGTTACCTCTCGAAAAAAGGAATCTTTAGAGGAAACTCAGAGCAGTGTTTTGCAAGCAGTTGCTGAGATATCAACAGAAACTGTCTTTTTTTTACCTTGGTCCGCGATAGATACTCGTGAAAAATACTGTAAATGGAAGGCTGTATATTCGCAGTTTTTTCAATAATATTCTACAGTCTGTTATCTACAGTTTTTTTCAAGTTCATACAGAGTTTTATTCTCTCGGATGGGGTTGGCAAAACTGGTGGATGTTTTATATACTACCTAATAGTCAACACCAAAAAAACATATTTTCAAAAGAAGTTTATTTGAACAAAAAACATGTACAAAATGAACCTTACAAACAAAATGGGATTATTTCATAATCTTTGGATACATAAAATAAATATAATACTGGTTTATTTCTTGTTCTCCACAGCCTTGGCAGGTGTGCCAGTCTTCTGAATAGGAATTGTCTTGTGTTCAATGGACTTATCATCAGTCCTGGGTGCTGTGATGGTCAGCACTCCATCTGAAGACAGCTTAGATTCCACCTTAGAGATATCACAGTTCTTGGGCAGGACATACCTCCTTACAAAGTGCCTGTAGATCTGTCCATGCTCATCTTGCTTCTCTTCATGTTTGCCCTCGATAGTAATGCTGTTGTCTCCAGTCACTTTAACAGTGATTTCCTCTGGTTTGAACTGCTGGACGTCCAAGTGGGCCTGGAACTTATCTTTGTCGAACTGCACTGTGGATCCAGTGTCTTGCTCTGAGGCTTGTGATCTCCAGTTTCGCATGTAGCCAGCAGGGCACCTCATCAGCATACTAGGGATGGTCAGGGGCTGAAGAAGATCCTGAGGCTCCAAAGCCTGGCCAAACCACTGGTCCAAAAGCCTGGATGGACGGTAGGAAAAGGAGTCATCGAACACCAATGGCAACAGCGACATTTTTTTCTAGGTTTTAGCAACTGTCTACAACACACGAATTCAAAATTCACTGGTAAATCGCTTTGGAATCACACGCTTCGCTTTTGTATTCAACGTTCAACGCCGAATTCAAACTCTGCCGCGGTTTTGCTATGGGCCGGCTTTTATAGCTACAGCGCATATTCTAGATGTCAGCCTCGTTATAGTACAGGTATTTTAGGCAAGTCGTATATCTTCAGTAACGAGTTCGTTGCCTGAACGTATATTCATATTCCATTTGAATAAAAGGTGTATTGTGTATTCTATGTTTATGTATATCGTACCTGGAGTAACAATTTATCCGAAGTTTCAAAATAATAAGTTTTCTAATATCAATATGCATGAATTCCAAACAAGCAACTAGGAGAGTACTAATACTTCACAAATAACATATTCATTTATCAACTATGTATCCAAACAAATAGATTAGTTGGTTGTGCAAAAAGTGATGGTGTAACCGTGATCTACATACAGCGCTTCCCAAAAAGGTCCGCCCGCCAACTTATTTTTAAACTAAAGTTAGCAAGCAAAAGATGAGTAAAAAATTTATGAGTAGGTATTTTTTTAAAGTTGATCTACAGAAGATGAGCTAATCAGTGAAAGTGATATCGTGATAAACCAGCACGGGTATTACGAATCTTGAAAAGTGCCATTTTGCCGTTTTTTATGACATCTCATAGGTTTTTTGTGGCATAACGTAGGTTTTTCTACAAGATGTCGAACACATATAGTTCGATTGTGAACTCGTTTTGTAGCTGTACGTGTTGCCTAAATACCATGATGCTTCAGCTATCAATGTCTGGGTCTGATGTGATGCAACATCTGCTTCAGAGATGGCATTATTGGAGGTCTAAGCTCTAAGTTGAATACTATAGCCAGAAGGAAATGGCAGTGCATAGGTGCATAGTGGTGCAAAGGATTTTTTGCTAATGATCTGTATTGATGATAATTTCATTGGTTTCTTGTCTCAAATACACTTACTTGAGATGTATTCAAGCCTAGAAATTAGTTGCGCGTCCACTTTTTCTTAATTATTCTGGAGATTACATATGCAAATTTGCTGGATTTCAAGAATTTCAAAGAAAATCTTACTCTTACATACTGCCTCATATTGCAATTATATTCACTGTACACTGTCGAATCATATACGTGATAACCGTAATTACACACAACTCGGGCGCGGTGTTGATTCCCCGTAATTCTAATAAAAAAATTGAAAACTAAATAAGTATAACTTTGAACATTGAACATCTTCAGAAGGGACAACATATAAATAACCCGACCGGCACAGCTAATAGATATACTTCATTTTGGCAGCAAATTCAGTAATAATTTGCTCACATAGCAAATATCACTGATTTTATACTCATGCAGACCAATATACATAATCATCCAGATGTGATCTTGCTACTCAACCGACTTCTCATATTCTCAGAGATGAACACTACCGGCGTTCTGCAACCAATAATGCATGCTTCGCCGTGTCGTTTGAGTCATTTCTCCATAGCTTTTGATGACGCTCACGGCGATCATAGCAAGCAAACGAGGAATTAACTATTTGCTCACCATGAACTACCTAGTCTGCGAGATTACATTTTATCGGTTTGTTTACGTGTTTAGGTTTTTTCCATAATACCCCTGCCATTTTATATCGAGCCCCTCTTCACAATGGCCCACATCACCAAGCCATTGTGTGGATACAGTCTCAACAGATGATGGCGATGTACGATAAGCCGTTAAATGTCAAATACATTCTCAGTCATTTTAAATTGTCTTTATATTTCATTTCAACAATTGATCATTTAAAATTCTCTTTGTAATGATTTTGATTTATTTCCCATTTTATTCTAGACTCTTATCAGTAGTTCTCATGTTCCCAATTCTGTTGCAAAAGCTAGAAGCTTTTCTTAATTAAGTTAAATTGTGATATATTGAATAACATCTACAAACATTGCTAAACATCCGAACCTAGAGAAAATATTCTTGTGCAGTAAATTCAGATGTTCCACATGCATAGTGATTTCTTATATTAAAATTTACCATTAGAATGCCAATAATTAATGTCTGCTCATATGGCTTTGCCTTCTATGGGGTTTTTATCATAAATGTGGTTTGTTAGTATAACTCTAGCTCTTTAAGAATCGTTTGTTTGGGCATGATATCAAGTTTGACTGTTCGGAAACAGTACCACAAGATGTCCATACATAATTTTTATGTCTACGAATTGAATACGTATTTATAGAAACTCAATGCGTCATATTGCATATATTGACTGGATTATAATTCTAGAATTCAAGCATCTGCGCCTGGAAAGATCCCGTAAGGGGGTCAGCGCCAACGCCGAACGTTCCATATGCGTTAGCTTTTGTTATACACTGCTCCACAAAAGTTATTCATGATCTCTCCAACTTTAGAATCTTTTAAGTTGGACAGCAGAAAGCCATAGTAAAAAAGTTCTGATATATTTAGATGATTATATTGTATATCATATATACATATATAAAATGGATGGATAAATTGCTGCCGCATGGCGTTGATATATGTTATTCGATGCTTAAACAACACTAAAAATTTAAATCGTAGATAATAGGTAACTATCCAGTTGGTTATACTGTCAAGAAAGTGAAGTAGTAAGACTATTAAATAGACTTGCGGAAAGTGAAGGACGACAAAACGCCAAAAGCTATAAGAAAAAGGACTCAAATTGTTATAGTTTTTCAGTTTATGCACCGGCTTTAAACTGTTTAATAATTTTCAAAAATAATTAGGGATGCACTTTTTTTCGGGTACTCGGCCAGTGTATAATATCGAGAACCACAGAGCGCGTTGCTCTGAGTTATTTGAGTACTGATATTAATACCAAAATTATATTTGCGTTTTTGAAAGATTCGATTATTTTCAAAATTGATGTACTTTTCCCAGACATTAATCACCACAAAAAAAGTGAAGCACCGTAGGTGCTTTGTTGCCTTGCAGTTTTTTAGGTTTTTTTTTTGAATATTTAAAGTCTTGCAATATTAACTTAAATTTGAAACCACATTTTGAAATATAATTTTTTGAACACTTGATTTTCAGTTTTTCAAAAGGATTGTATCTACTACGTATATAAGAATGTGGCCACCATGAACACTGAATTTAAATTTCTGAGCGCCTTTTGGGATGAGGTTAGAAAAGAAACACAGATTAAAGCTTTTTTCATGTCGTGGGCGGGACAGCTCAAATTTGGGAAGAACTAAAAATCTAAATTATCCTTACGTTTGAGTGAAGGTTTCCTTTACAGACATCCGGAAAAATGAATAGTTATACTCGTTTCTTTTAGACTTTTGCCGCATTTTGTTTATTTTGTTTACTTTGTAGTTATTCGAGTGTGCATATACGAAAGATAAAACAGCTAACATCAAATAAAAAATGGAGTAAGGTCAAGATCATACTTTGATTCCAGCTTAAACTGGTATAGTATAGCTGCTCTATGGGCTCAATATCTGTTTTTTACGAAAAACGAAATGTATGCAAAGAAGGTAGGCAAATACCCTATAATTACTGGAGACTGGAGAAGACCGCGTCATTTACTAAATCGTCCAAGACAGACAACTGATTCTGGCAAAAATATGCTGTAATTTTGGATATTTTTCTATAGTACATTAATTTTTTGGAGAACATATTGAGCAAGTTCTTAGAAAAGCCATATATGAGTTCTGACTTTGCACATCGCCTTTTCAATTCTTGGATTTGAAAAAGTTGTGCGTGTTGCGTTCAGGCCGAGTAGTTACCTAGACGAGTCACTCAATACTCGGCGAAACGGGTAAAATGGGTCGAATACGCCGAGTACCGGGTACAAACCGAGTACTTGAGGCTATATATGACATTTTCCATCTTTTAAAGGACATAAATAGTAAATTTATCGTCTTGTTTATCCTGTAAGTATAATAAATATAATAATAATGGATGAATCAAAAATACATCGATTCATTCTTGTCGACTAGAATTAATCATTTCAGGTTGTCGGGCAGTGTATATGGAAAATTCAGTTGGGTTCTGGATGCATCTTTGCAGCGTTGTCAAGTATCTCGAAGATTCGACCCAACGATTCCACCACATCATATCTTACACATAATCTGCAAACTTTTACTCATAGCAACTTAATTAATGTGTACGTTGATAACAGTTTATGGTACGACTGGGTACTATTTGCCATTTCAAATTCAGCAATCGGAAGAGAAATCTAACAAAGATGGCATAAGTAGACATTCCAGTGATTTCATCCACGGCAAGGCAACGCTGCAATCAAAGGAGGGGGTTATCGGACCAGCTGTCAACATGTCAACAACTGAAAGTGAGGTTATGGGTGCATGTTAATGTTTTCGTGCTTCTAGATCTGAACTCGATTCCCTTCTACCTTCTAGATCTGTCTGGGTTTCGAATCGCTTTAGCTTCTAGAAAATTCTATATAATATTCCCTGTGCTTTATAATAATCTTTCACAATGGCGGAACGACAGAGTATTGTAAACAGTCGCGAAGCAAAGGCGTCCAAAAAACGCATTCACAATGTTGTCCCTCTACAAGTGCTGTTTGGTGCTTGCAATTTTATTTTCTCCACGGGTAAGTGGCACAAGAATGAGCCTTGCACCGTTTTTGGATGATTACCGGCGGCATACAAGATTGTTGGACCAACATTTTGGGCTCGAAATCACACCAGATGAACTGCTAGAGCCCTTGATTCTGTCAAATTTCTTGAGAAATCCTGGTGGGTACCTTCGCCCTTGGAAACTAGCCACACGCAACGATTTGGGCTCGACCATCAAATTCGAAGATGACAAGTTCACTGCAAACTTGGATGTACAACAGTTCGAACCTGGAGAAATCACAGTGAAATTGTCTGGAGAGCGAGAAGTCACAATTGAAGGAAAACATGAGGAAAAACAAGATGAACACGGATATGTATCCAGGCATTTTGTGAGGAGATACCGGCTTCCAAAGGAGTTTGATACCAACCAGATTCAATCTAAGTTATCTTCTGATGGTGTGTTAACAATATCAGCACCTTTGATAAATGAGAAAGTGAAGGAGAAGACAATTCCTATTGAGCAGACTGGGCAGCCAGCAAGGATATCTGAAGATAAGAAGACTGAAAAAAATGAGCTGTGAATATTTGTAGTATTACATGCTTGTATGTGATGCATTTTGTACTTAATACATTTTCCACAGTATAAGGGTGTTTATTTACATTATTTTTGATAAATTTGCATTAAGTGTCTGGCTCTTGTCAGTAGCTGTTTAGCACAAATTTTAATTGTGATTTTTGGGTGTCACCTGAGTGTAGTGGTTTAGTGGAGTTTAGATGAATTGGATATGATAAAAAAATTAGATGCCAGTGTAAACATGTTGCCCTTAATCTGTTAGCTAATGTGTAATGATTTTCAATGGTTATCATTGCAAACATTGAATGTGCAGTTTTTCTCATCAAAATGGCTTAAGGAGAGAGTTTAGTTCATATTTGAGAGCAGCAAATTGCTGGTGAGGAGAGTGGGCAGCAAAAATATAATCAGAATTATACCTACTTTAGCGCATATCGCAAATATTTCATTTCTTCTTTTAAAATGAAAGATTAAGATGTAATTTGTACAAAAATATCATTTTTTCTTTAAGGAACCCTCTGCTTGCTATTTTATAGAACTTCAAAGTTGCATTTTGGGTAGTAATACTGTGGTATAAGAATACTGCTTTATAAGCTGGTTTTTTCTTGTTTATACAAATATATTACTGTTCATCGCAATAATGCAATTTCGCATTATTTTAGTGATGAAATTTTTTTTTTATCTCAGATAAATATTCCCATCACTACACCAGCATCACTAGTTGCGATGTTGCCAAATCATGGATAGTAATATACCTTGATTTGGTTTGTAAAATTCTCACTTATATACTAGCGCAAAAATGTGCAATCGGCACAGGATTGCCATGAAAATGCGATTTGGAGGTTTGGGCGCCAGGTTTTACTGTACTAAATCTACCTCTACCTTCGATAGCGTTAGCTAAATACACTTTTTTGAAGAATGCCATACGTGTTTCACAAAAATACTTTATTGTTTTGCCTATATTATAGTTACTATCTATTTACTTTTTGTATGTATGTACTTAAAGAATTGTTTATATGAGAAATTACATGAAAAGTAGCTATTGCCAGTCACTAAATAATGAAAACATATAAAGAAGAACAGTGCAAGTTTTATGATTAGATGAACTGGTCGTTGATCTATATTTAACTATGTTAGATCAGGATATGTTGGTTGGACCTGGCGACATGGTCCAAATTGAAGTTGGGTATTTTTATATCTAATGATCGCGTGTGCCTTTTGTATATTTTATGTTTCGTGAGCCGCTGTTGCATATTCCACTGTTTAGACACGTAATGTTCAAAAGTTCATCTAATTTTCAGTAAATACAGGTACAACTTCTTATAAAACAAGCCATTTTCAATAAATTGAGACTTATTTTGCAAATAACCTCATCTTTTTATTACGTATTTCTTATAAACGCAAAAACTTTGATCTCATTGAAAATACGGGAAACAAAATGGTTAAGGAATTTCAAGAAGACACTAAAAAATCTCAACGCAACACCTCTACACAATTTGCCAATTAAACGCGATCATTTACATTGAACTGTTATTTTAGCTTATAGCACCGATAGTTTTGAACCTTTTTTGCAAAAACAACGATTTTATATGTTTCTCATATATTCCTTGAAAAATGATCATTTCTGCTTGTTTCCTCAATTTTTTCAGAAAAAAAATAAGAATTTCGGCCTTTATGCGCTAAAGTATAGTCTATTTATCTATTTTACGAGTAGAATGCACAGGACACAATAATTCTGACGGATCCGTCAACGACTGGTAGTCAGAGCCGTATTTTGTTTTGGTTTTTTGTACGCTATAGATTCATTTTGTACTTGCTAACAGCTCTTTTATTCAGAAAAGTTTATTTACATACAAAAAACAAAACGCTACAATCGAGTTTTACTAGATTTACACTCGATTCATTATTGCCAACGTCGCAGATTAACACAAAAATGTCACATGCTAATCACCTGAGTAGACGTCAAAGCGTGATGGATACTCGTGAAATAGGGTATGTCATTTTAGCTTATTACACGGCTAGTTTTTAACCTTTTTCTTTGAAAAGCCAACGATTTTTTACAGTTTCACATCTATTTTTCTTAATACTATACAGAGCATGTTATATTCTTATACTTTACAGCATGCTTTTGTGCAAAAACAAAAAAAAACAGCATATAAAACAGTATTCTATTTTGTAATATTACCACCAAAAATGCAACTTTGAAATTCTATAAAGTAGCAATCAGAGGGTTCCTTAAAGAAAAAATGATATTTTCGTACATCCTAATTTTACATTAATCAAATTCAAGCGGATAACCAAATGGAAATGGTATTTACCAATCCGTTCAAGCGAGTAAAGTTATCAGTTTGGTTATCAGATCCGTGACGTCACGAATCAGCTGTTATATGTCATAGTTATCACCGCAAAATTGTGGTATTTACCCAACTCAAGAGTAGTTTTATATTTCTGGTTATTATTTGAAATGTGACAAGTTAGAATTTTGCCGGGCATTGGATATTGTTATTGTACTTCAGCTTCATTTTTGAGAAAAATGATACAGGCTGACTTCAGTTTTACCATAAAGTGGAGCACCTTATTAGTTATACTCATTACGGTTGTTGGGGACACTGTAAATGTAGTTCCTATGCTTAACAAAGTATCCTGTGTAGCCATATACCACAAGAATATTAAAATATGGCCATATAAACTCATTAGATGATATCCACCTGTATACGGTTTTGCTAATTTCTTTTTTCATCATTTCTGCCGAATCAATAAATGTTTTCTTTGACATGCGGAAAAATTTAGAGAATTGAAATCTGAAAAAACATTTCTCCCATGAATATTATGAAAGGTTTTGTATTTAAACTTTCCATATATAGTTGTAGACGAAAAAGCACCGATTACTAAGTGATAATAAAAATAATCAGAGATTATATACGCGCTTTTCTAAAATAAACAACTTGCAACAAAACCGCGTTAAAACCAACGCGTTCAAGCTTTTCGTGTAACTGACGTCATCAACCCGTGTGTCATCTTGAACCATATTATAACCGCGGCACATAACACAGAAATTTTGGTTATTCGCTTGGATTTGATTATTGTAAATTATGAAATGAAGTATTTGCGAGATGCGCTAAAGTATAGTCTTACTAAACTCCAACCCCACAAGGTTTAATCCTGATCTGTCATCACACTTAAAACTTGTATTTATGTCAAAATTGTAACACTCCACTGGCATATTCAGGAGAGGGCATCAATTTAATTTTGTCTCGACTGTGTATTAGCTCAAATAAGCTATGCTCAAACTGGTAGTATTATGCAGGATCTAGAGCGACTGAACAAAATAACAAAATAAATATATATTTCTCTTGTATACATGCAACTATAACTCCATTTGTATACTGTATAACACGGCCCCTATATTATCATCTTACTTCTATATCTAATTATTGTCCTATTTGGGGACAGAATTCAATAAAGGAAAGTTGATAACACTATTTTTGTGTAATGATTGTAAAAACCTATTTTTACCACAGGACCAGCATACTTTTGGTTTTAATATGAAACAGAGAAATAGACATAAGTCATTTTAGCAAAATGTACTCGTAAACAAATACTGGTAATTGAATAATTGGATATAACAATTAAATTATAGTCAAGATGGATATTCATCACTGAAATTCCCAAGGTTGTGCTGATAAAATATCTGTAAGGCCTCTAACTGTTTCTTGTGCATCAAAATGTGCGGCCGTTTCTCTTTCATATGCCTCACTGCCTCTTCTGGGGTCCAGTTGTACCTCTGAAATAAAACAAAAATTAAACAAAAACAAATTCAGTCACCTTTATCCTTACATCATTCTTGTTTGATATCGGTATACATTGTTATAGCAAGGTGTATGTAAAAATTTCTAGTCGTAAGTAATTTTTTTAGCATTCTGGACCTTTGCTTCTAAATTACTGTCTATGCACCAGCACGGAGGACGACTTCTGTCTGTTATATTATCAATGTTTACCTGTATGAGGTAACACCCAACAAGTGTGGCGCTCCTAGTCCGTCCTGCTTTGCAATGCACATAGACGGACGATGTGTTGACGCCATTCATCAGACGGCGCTGTTCTACGAATCCGTTGATAAATCGTACTCCCTCCACTAATTTGCTCTGGCAAGGTGTTGCAAAGATGTCTGTGGTAGCTAATTGCAGAAACTCTACCCCAGCTTCTCTCCATGACTAGAATGTGAAGTTAATACTTCAAAATGTTGTAACACCATGTATAGGTGCAAGATCACACTTGGAGTTCCATCCCATGTCAGTTAATAAATAATTGTAGTTGTCAAGAGTAGGGTAGGTGTTGTGTCAATCAGTTGTCAGTTTTGTTAATCCCTGGGATCTTTCAATATTCTACCAGGCGTTTGCAGAATACAAAAATGTTTTTTCATAGACTTACTTGTTCATACAGCATCAAAGAATATTAGTATTTACTTATTTCTGTGTGCCTTACAGTATGTCATTTGGGAAAGCAATATATAGCATCAAAAGCTACAGTCATTTTTTTTTAAAACTTACCCGAGCATCATTAGCAAACATCAATTCATAATCCTCATTCATTGAAACAACTGCTTTGATATGTTCCTTTTCGATAAGCTGTAAAAGAAAGATATACCATTATACCTATGTGTTCAAAGCCTTAAGACTGAAAATTCAAAATAGCATGTACATAGAACATGCAAGACACAAGAGATCTGGACTTGATGGATCAGAAAGCCCTCTGCCTATGGGCAATAATAACAGTGACTGCTCTATTTGGGTGTGCTACATTATTGCCAACTATTCCAATACTCCTCTTTGGACTCGCAGGAAATGTTTGCTAGGTGAGACATATCTAATCTACAACATTTTTTGGGTCACTATTGTTCATTCAGGTAAACTCTATACCCATCAAAATACAATCTTTTATATTTTATTTATTACAATACTTTTTTATTCTTGTCAATTTTCCATAATTTCACGATACTTACAAAACCAATGCATTTTCAAATCTGGGACACAGCCTTGCCCTTGATCTCGACTCTAACCTCACTTTCGCTCACTAAACAACAAACTCACCTCTTGCGTTAGTGTCCGGAAAGGGAGGGCCCCCAAGACGACAGTATCATCAATACGGTTATACCATTTCCTAGGGGTGATTTTTTCCATCACCAAATTGTAAACCAACGTGGGATAGAAGGAGATTCTGGCAAACATTTCGTCGAGCCCCACGATACTTCGCTGTTTATCAAAGACGTCTTTTGCACTTTCCACCATTTAGGGCATTTGGACATCCGCTGCAATCAGACTATCGATTTTACTGAAGTCAAAATTTAGTTGTACAGGTTATGACGTTGCTGACACACATTTCAACATTAGAAAGTATGTTACAGAATTTTAATTATTTTTTAAAACATAAATAGGTGATTATACGAAGTATCCGGATCTCTGCCATAATATGACGCATTGAAATTTTTTATTGGCCAGTAATCAATCGTATCTTTTAAGTTATGTGCCCCCATAAATCTGGGGCTCCAATTGCATCACAATTTAAGAACTAAAAACTACTGTACGACCTGCGAATACTATACGTATACGATTTGCAAAACCAAATAATCATGTTATGACAAATTGGTAGACACAGGACACAATAATTGGTGTTACATCAAAACAATGTTAACTGAAACTTCAGCCATTATAAAGTGGTCAAGTCATCGTCGGTTGTCAGAGCGGTCCTTGTGACCTTAGCTCTTGAGTCACAGTGTCAGTTTGTAAGTCTGTCAGGTCTGGTAACCCAGAAACCAGACAATTTCAAGGAAAAAAGGGAAGGAAAGAAGAGAAGGAAGAACGAGAGCATTAGGGGAAGAAGAGAATCTTTTAGCATAGGCAGCGTTCAGGCATTGTCAAAATCACTTCACAGATTTTGATAAGTTCTAAAAATATTCGATTTTGTCAAAATGCTCCAATTTTGGTTGTTCGGTACAGTGCGAGCCGCGGCCTTTGAAGCTTGCGAACTTGCTCGACTGTGTAGTCCACTAACTCGCGCAACAGAGGGTTGCTGTGCGATATAAAAGTGGTTTCATGTAAAACACATTTTAACATTGTTGGTACGTCTCAAATATGCCGTCTAAATTAAAAGTTGAATTGAGTCTGTGGCAGTCAAATACAAGATGTCACAGCTAGAATATTATGCGAGCTTCTCCTGGATTCATGTACGATAAAGAAAACGGAGTCAAGGAGATTGAGTCAGAATAGGCACTTCCCACATTTAGTACATTTTACGCTTTCTGATATTCCATTAAATAACCAGAATATCCAAAAATGATATCTGGGAAATTGGAGGCACTCGATGGATTTCAAGTTTTTTCCTCATTATGTTGCCAGTAGGTCGATTTTCGGAAACTCTAGAGCTTTCATGGTCGTGTTTGTACCTTTTTGTAATAAGCGAGTAATAAAATGCCATCTATTACCAGAATCAAACACTGCGGAAGTGAAACATCCAGCTGTCTGTTATATCCCAGTTTCCACTGTCAGCCGGGTCACCAACTGCGGCTTGGCTGATTCTAGTGCTATAGTAGTTACGGTCTACCCGCCATTGAATAAACCAGTAATATACCGTTTCGTTTCGCACCAGAATTAGCGGAGACACGGCTGGGATACACTTCCAATAAACAGCTTGCTCTTTTCACTTTCGAAGTGGTCGATTTTGATACTGGATGGCATTTTGTGCCGTCTTATTTTGATAAACCTGGTACTCAGAATAGCGTCGCTCAGCTTTTGTTGAACGAGACCAAGCGTACACCATGCTGACAAGTTTCCAAATAGCACAAAACATGATTCGGTCAAGACAATAAATGCTGCTTCAGAAGCACATTTTTCTTTATAATACTACGAGATTAAATAAAGGTTAGACATTGTAATGAATTTCATGCTTCATTATAACCTGCTTTTCTGTGACGACCTCCAAACACTTATTGTCATTGTCCTAGTTCAGTATTCAGAGGCGCCTTTTTCATATAATACTATTTACCTGAATAATGCTTAATGTAATCGGCAAATGTTAGATTAATAATTACACTTTTGAAAAGAGTTTTCAGTATTATATTGTTTCAAAGAAACTCATAAATAAATTTTATTCAAATAATTTACATAAAGTACATTAACATAGCAGAATCTTCTACTTTTTGATTTCCCAAATCCTTCTTCCAGTGCATCCAATACCAATGCAGTGGTGATTGTAGTACAGCAGGCCTCCCAATGTGCCAATTGAGATCAAATACAGCAATGCCATAGTCAGTTTAGGAATCACAGGGCCAAAAATGATTGGTCGCACATAGTCAACCACACATGCTTCCAAACCCCTAATGAAGAAAAATATATCAGCATACCTTGAGGAAATTGTAAGATGATTGTTTGGTTTAACTAATTTCATCGAGATAAGATTAACACGTTCACTGCCACGTTGGTCCTATAGGACCAACACTCATGTTGCCTCAGCAGGCCACATTGGTCCAATAGGGCCAATATATATTTTGCCTTACCAGGCTATGTTGGTCCCATGGGGTCAACGCATTTTCACATAGCTGCTGGGCCATTGGCGCTCATTTACCTATGTACGCCTGCAGAAATGGACCAACATGGCCTAGAAGCTATATGCCGCACATATAATTTCTTTGCTTTTTCCATAATGAGGAATGTAGCCCCGATGGGACCAACGTCTTTTTTATATGGTGGCCCACTAGTGCTCAATGTAAAATACATGTTTGGTGCAGTGGACACATGTTAAAAAATATGTCTGGCAGCGAACGTGTTAATTGTTGAAACTAATATAATTGTTACCAATGGAAATGTGTGACTACTAGCACAGCAAAAATATCATCTAATATACAGTTGGGCGAGATAAAAGTGGCAGGAACGACCCCCAAAAGTAGGACTGAAACAGCTTTTTCGATAGGCCACAATTTGCTATGATCCCCAGACATGGATCTTTTCACCAGCTCAAGGTTGGTCTTGTTTTTTGTGTAAGCGGCTACATTCTTCGTACTTTTGCCCAGCAATTGTGAAAATTGCCTTTTTGAGGTTGCAGTTTTCACCAGCTGAGGAAAGCCACCTGGAGAAGGAGAAAGGAGTTATGTAATTTTTTACAAGATGTGCATAAACAATTGATTGACTAGGTTTTAAATCTTACCTGACGATAGTCTAGACGTGTTGCGAAGTAACAGCGCTAAAGCCATTTCGAAAGTTATTCTATATTCGGAGGACTATAATAAATTGGCAGTTTTTAAATTCAATTTTGATGTTTCTGACATCCAAATTTTCTTATTAGACAGCTAGACAGCAAACATGAGACAACATAAAAAAGAACCATGGAACTAGAACCTAGAACGAGAAGAACCGTATCATCATGGTGAGCATGGAACGAGAGCTTCATAGGTCAATCAATTTGCCACGCCATTTTGGTTCACTCTACAAGTGGAGTGTCGATATCTTTGGCTGTTGAATAAAAAACTAGCAGAACATTCCTCTCCTCCTTTGTAATCTTACGCGTAATTCCAGTGGCTCAGTCCGACAGTCATCGTATGACGAACGCGAAATTGTCCGCGTTCGCTGTAATCTAAATGCACCTTAAGCTGTCAATCTGCATCTGCTTTCAGTTCAAGGTTGCCTTGCGACTTGCGACGTCAAAATACAAAAATAAAACAAAAGGATGACACCCATCCTCCTGTGATTGTGTTTTATGCTAATCGTGCAGTGATTTTTTAAAAGATTTCTTATGTAGATAATTTTTGTTTTTTATACCAGTTTCCTCACCTAAATTGACGAGATGGATGCAAACGTTGACCATTCCTTCGTTCAAAAGATGCAGTATATGTCAATCGGCAACCAAAACGATGAAATTCGTCATGCTATAGTATCGGACGTTGGGAAAACTGACCTATCACCTCTGAACTACCCCAAAGCTGACCCACAAAGACCCAGCGAGTACAAAATATATGAACGCAACAACATAATCGCCAGCTCAAAATTTCCCACCCCTACGCATGTGGAGTCTATCTCGGTCCAAAAGGGTATAGAAGAGAATGATGTGTATGTCCAGTGTGCAAAGCCTCAAGTTCCTATCAGTTCAAGTCCTACTAGATCATTGAGTGGGTCGTCACAGCACTCTGGGGGCACAAGAGTGAGCATTGCTAGCAATTCAGGCCCAGTATATGAGAACCTCGAGTATTATCCAAGAAACTATTTTGCAGGTAATTTTTAAAACATTTACTGAATATTATTCTACTTATTTTCTATATATATTTCTGAAACAATTCTCCTAAGCACAGAGGTATTTGACCCCCTGCTCTTTAACTTTTAATCACTGACATTAAATAATATGTTAATTACATAAACAAAGTTTTGTTTTACCATGTACTGAAAAGTTGGGAATAATTTTACAGAAAACAGATCAACTACACCTGGCAACACATGTGTTTTTGACTTATTCTGGTATAAAAACTAGTGATGAGAATCTTTTGCCTTTCACTGTTTTAATATTATATCTGTTTACTTATTGGTCATAGATGACTTACTCTCTTGGAATTGTGCAGGAAAATAGATATGACTATTTTGGCTTCATTGATATGAATACAAAACAATCTATCGCAAACTTTGAATACTTGATTTTTGAAGAATCACTGGGAGAAGGACCTAAAAAATCTAACTTCTGTTTATCCAATATAATATATAGGAATTATTATATATTTTGGATAAGACTGCAAAGAAATAAATAATTTGGGTCAATATTATATTTATGTAACATATTATTTTAAAACATGAAAATTGTGACAAGTATTCTTATGGTCCTTTATATCCCTATTTGTCATTTCTCTTATTGTTAATAAAATTACAAGTCTTACAAAATAACCTCATGAATCATATTTTCAATGAAAGTAAAATATAAAAGAATAAATTCCACTGCATAAAAAAATATTGATTATCAAAAATTTGTAGTTGACCAATTTCATATAGATATGATTATGTGTTTAAGGATATTACATGAAGTTTTATTAAGATTGGCATTGTACAGTAGAAAACTATTCTACAAGCAAATCAAAATTTATAATCATTATTCAGGTTCCATTCCATTTCCATAACTATTCTGAGTGCTATTGATGCTCATGATTTTGAGCTACATTGAGACTGGCTACTGTTAGTTGTGAATGGTTTTTTGACTGTCCTCTCTAAAAATCTTTAATCTATTGTCATGAGAAAATTTTACTTCAGGTAACTCACATCCGACCAATGATTCACTAGGTTGCAGAAAAGCTCAACCACAAGTACCCATAAGTAGCAAGATTAGCTCATACTCAGATGGCCCCCCTGTGTATGAAAACTTGCATGCTCTCTCACCAAAAACTGCGGCTCTCCCTGGTCCTCAGGTACCTACTAATGCTCCTCCTCCTTATGCTATGAACTCTGCAACCTACCAGCATTATGACCAGCAACCCATCTACTCACTTATGCAGTCACCAAGTACCAGAGCCCAGCCACAAGCACCATATCACCAGAGCAACTTCAATAGGTAATGTAAATCCTTCTGAATCAAATGAACATTCTTTTCAAATATCTTCTCTTTTTTTTCTTCACACTGAAAATCATTTATGTGTTGGATGTTGTAAGGATTGGTTTCTTAGTTGATTCCATAAATCATATTTGATCATGCTTATTTTGGATGCCTTAGCAATTGATATTTCAGAGCTGTTTAGAATTATTTAAAAAGTGCACATTTTTTTTTAATTCTCGTTACCTTTGTGGGGTGTTCCACAAGGGTAGTTATTATTTATTTATGCTATACTCAAGATCTTGTCTTTTCTGGCTCATTTATCTATCATTTGATGTTACATTACATTTTTTACAATCTGTGATATATTTTTTGTATAATGATGAAGAAATATCTGAAAAAAAAAATGATTAAGATATTCCATCAGAAGGTACCTTCAGTTGGAAGCTGTGACTGTAAGAAAGTGGGCATATATCCTGTGCACTACAGTAATACCATTTACTTGATAGACCAATGTTAATGCAGTGCTAGAACCATATTGCTTTTGTTTTCACTACTTGCATAACCTATCACTACTCCCTTCTGTTTTGTGATTTCACTCTGTATACAATTGATTTATTTACGCGAATTACATATTTGAAACTTCTCGAGCGAATTAAATGTATTATGTAACAGGATCTGAATCTTGAGAATAGATAACCCTTACTTGGCTCCCTTGTAAGGAGAACATGAATTCCTTGATAATCTTACAATAAGGGCACTCCTACTCCACTTCAGTATCCAAGTGCTTATGTTTTTCATAATAAGACACATTTATGGCAATAGATCTCCATCAAAGAGTCTGACTCAAGAACAAATTGATGAACTGAATAGTGGGGACTATGTGTGTATGACTGGAAACATCTCACATACTCTTAGCACCAATGTGCCCATACAAACCTCATCTGCAAAGAATTATGACAGAACTATCGCTACTGGGATAGCACAGACTCCTACTAAGTTGTCACCACCAAAAGAAGCTAAAAAGGTATGTTTGACATATACAACTTTTATACAACTAGCGTTTATAACATTACAAATATGAGGTGTATTTTGCATCTTTAGTTTTATCTACATTTTTATATTCAATTTAACAGAGTCAATTGACTACTCTTGAGGCGCATTTTTTGTGATGTTAAGTACTCAGTAGTTACTTTTATGGCTAGTATGTATTTTGTATTATTGTAATCCAGGTACCAGTTCAGAAGATTGAACCCAGACCATCCCCAGTACCCAGTCCAACTCCAAGTGCAATGAGTACTAGCAGTGGTAAGCTGAAGATTTCTGGCAAGAATCTTCTGCCTTATAGTGTTACGCCTCCAAAGCCTAGGGGTCCAACAGAGGCTGAGAAGAAGATTGAGGAGATGACTAGGCAGATTGAAGAGGAAATGGAGAAACATGAGGAGGAAGGAGAATATTTTGGTGAGTGTAGCCAACGTCGTTCTACTACAAACCCCTGATACCACGCTATGATTAAATCACTATTTCTACGTATGTCGCAATAAAAACTGTGGGTCTGTTTTCGCTAAAATAACCGCTTTCCCGAGGCTATTCGTCGCTGGTTTGTGGAACGTAGGAGGAACCACTTAAATAGTCCGGACTTGGAAGTATTCGGCCAGTGACTTCACAATTCCCTTTAGGCTTATTAATTTAAGACAACAGCCTGTAGCTTTGAAGATGTTTTTATTTGCGTTCCAGGGATTTGCCATACCTGTGGAGAGAAAGTGACTGGTGCTGGTCAAGCTTGCCAAGCAATGGGAAACTTGTATCACACTAACTGTTTTATATGTTGTTCCTGTGGAAGAGCTCTCAGAGGAAAAGCTTTTTATAATGTCCATGGTAGGGTGTACTGTGAAGAAGATTACCTGGTAAGTTTTCTTTCAGCATTCTCAAACTCTGAAATCACGCAACTATGTAAACTTATCCAGTTATATGGTGAGGCTCACTTATGTCTGCTTGGGGATGTAACAATCTGGTACAGTTTGATGTACCAAAACACACACCTTGACTAACAAGAACCATGAATGCAGTTTCAATGGATGGACGAGTTCTGACAAAGAACGATTCGTTCTGGATGGTCATCATCCCGTCAATCTCACCAGCTGGATAAAGTCGGCCTATTTGTCACGTGGCGACTGTGCTATTGAACGTAATCTGAGATCTTTAACAGTTCCAACCAATAGCAGCTATACGCTCTCCTTAGTGGTCGATTCTGGTGTGATTGATGGCGCTTTGCCCCGTTTTTATGTCGCATTAACAAATATTCTTTACGCTCCTCATAGGAGCCGCGGTACTCTGGTATTTAGGCTTCTGCTTCGGTATAAAAATATACCCCTGACGATACTTTTGTCCGTGATTAGTTTAAGCAAATCTGCTATCTCTTTAAACAACAAAAGAATGACTCCAATATGAGGTAATTTGAAGAAGGCCATTTTGCTTAAAAAATTAGTAGCACTTAGAAATTTGCAGAAACTGTCCACCATTTTTAAGGCAATTTTTTTGGATGTCAAGCATCATGAAGGTTTAACTTTCAGCTATGATTCCAGATTAACCGTCTAGTAGTAAATGTATAAACAGAAGTTTTTTGAAGTATTTATATTGTCACATCAAATTAGCCGTGTAGGGTCTTTTTTTGGACTACTCACGCAATAATTAACAAATATTTGAATATCCGCAAAACGTGATTTTTATTTGACATTTAATGGAAAAGTTACTCAGCAAAATTTGTTGTATCTCTTGATGAGGTATACCTTTAGGAAATATAATTCCTGGCAACCATGTTATCACACTTTTTTTCTGAAACAGGGTCAATTTTTGACTAGTCTATAATGTGTCTGTAATGCTGCACTAAACTAACTGAAACAACATGGAAGGAAGTAATCCCCAGACTGTTTGTGGAATGATATGTGCATTGACTCATAAATATAACTGCTTGAGTTTCAGTGTAATAAATGTTTTCGCCAGCGATTTATAAATCTGACTAATGTAGTAATGTATTTTTTTCACCTATTTTTGAATTTGGAATCATGATCTTTTGAACTAGAGTTTGTGTTTACCTTCACTGATGTCCACGTAACATGGTTCATAACAAGTACAAGGGTATCGAGATTATGGAAGGCTTAGGCAGCTCAAAATCGGATTAACAAAGTGTGTTCAAGCTCCTCATAGCAGTCGCGATGCCCTGTATTTAAGTTTCTTATTACCCGGATGCATGTTTACGATTAATGAATCGTTTGTTCCAGTACTCTGGATTCCAACAAACAGCAGAAAAATGTGCTATATGTGGACATCTGATTATGGAAATGGTGAGTAGATTAGATTTTTATTTTTGGATTCTAGTTCCTTGTAGTCTTTTTATGTGCAGCCTACAAAGGCTGAGCCTTATTGGTCATGTTTAGTATGCTTTTGATTATTTGGGTTGAAATTTGAGGCGTGGTTCTGCCTCGGTCGGCGGTAAAATTTCAACCAGATTATTTATTTGAGTTGAAGGTTCAAATCCCATCGATATAAAACCTTTTTCGTTTTAAACTGAAAATCCAGACATGTATTATTTTGCCTTTAACAAATCGCTGTTTCTCAAGAATAGTGAGACTATTCAAGAAAAGCTTTTTGTAGTAGAGGCATTTTTAATATTTTTGGAAGAAAAATTTCGGGTAACTGAAAATTACGTTAATAATTTGGATTTAGAAACATTATCAATTAAATAAGGTTCTTAGGAAAGAACAGTATGACTTAAAAAATATCCAATTTTATTACTTTTTTACAACTTTCCTGAAAAAAATAATGAATTTCTAAAAAATATATGACAAATAATTCGTGGTTATAGAACAAAGAAGGAAAATTTATTTTAGTATTACTACCAAAACAAATCAAAGGTACAGAAAAAACTCGAGTACAATACAAAAATTGGTTACAAATTTTTGTAAAATCCCTCGTAGTATGAGGGTATTACTCGTGTATATTTTTTTTACTAAATTAAGGCGCTTTTCTTTTTCTCGGAAATGGGAATCTCACGTTTGTATGCTTTATTTAGAGTAACTCTAGGTCCTCTTTTAGTTGCTTCGTTTTTCTTAGATCTTCTATCAGATTTTTTATGTAAATATTCCAGAATGTTGAGATTCTACTCTTATCATTTTAACATCGGAAAGTTTGAACGACTCATTTTCCGAATTTTTATGTTGTAGGAAGATAGTCACAATGCACTTTATGTCACTATTCTTGATTAACACGATCGGTTATTAGCGTACTTTGTTCTAATATGACGTTATTCTTGAGGAAAATGTAAGTATACGCCTTGAAAGTCGAGCCGCAACTGCAATATGACATTATATTCATGACAGAACCCCAAAACATTCGATATTAACGAACAACGACACTAGCATCATTTCTGGTGAAAGCTTTGCAACAATTGCAAATGTCTTCATGCCTGATGAAATAATCAACATTTGGAGTGGATCTGCAATTTTAACTAATTTTTCTCGTTTTTTGAATAGTGTCACTATTCTTGAGAAGCAGCTAAATGTGTCATTTGTTTGAAATTCGTGTTGTAGATTCTTCAAGCAATGGGCAAGTCGTACCACCCGGGATGCTTCAGGTGTTGCGTTTGTAACGAGTGCTTGGACGGAGTCCCATTTACTGTTGATGTTGACAACAAAATCTACTGCGTCAACGATTATCACAGAATGTTTGCTCCCAAATGTGCTGCATGTGGAAAAGGTATGAATTTTTTATAGGTATTGAAAGGGTACTGTTAGTTTCCAATTCACCATTTATTAAAAAAACTCAAGATGTAACAGAACAAATAAAAAATAACTAAATAAGGTTTACCTACAGGTATGGTATATTTCACGAGTATCCATTACGTTTTGACGTTTACCAGGTGACATCTTTGTATTAAAATCTGTAATGTTGGCAATAATATCAATTTTTTCGCCTTACTCCTCACGTTTGGGAAGTTTTTGGACGAGGACGAAAAACTTTTACAGAAAGCCATTAAAACAATCTAACTACGTGAAAACCGTATCAATTTATGTCTATTTGGACTCAAATTATGTCGGTAAAAATAGTAATGACAAAATTTCGGCACTGCTACACTTCTGTCGTTTCGGTTAGTACGGGATCGATGGGATGGAACTTCAGCCGCATGATTCTATGCACATAAAGGTTGACTCCTCAAAACACAAAAAAAAAATCGCAGAACCATAACAAACAGTAGGGCCATCAAAAACTACTATTATGTTTTAGAAACCTCATAGGAGGTCAGGTTTACACGATAGCTTTCCAAGAAACCAGCGAACTACAGGGTGATTTTGTTCATATAAGGCTTGACTGCTCATAACTGAAAAAAGGTCTCAGAACCCAAACGAAGAAATTTACCACCAACAAACTTTGCAGAGACTTCATAGGAGTACATCTCTACAATGCGCCCTCAGTCAGGTGTCAAGTTTTGGGGTCTTTTTATTGTCATTTGGCCAGTTCTCCTGGTATATAGACTTCATATAATGGATACTTGTAAGAAAGACTTTATATGGCATATTAGTGTTTGTCGATTACATTGACATTATTAAAAAAATATGGTGCAATAAATAAAATAACTTAGAATAGAGGTGCTGTTTGGTATAGGAACACAAGTTTTGCAGTAAATATGGCAAGTAGCATCATCATCAGTCAGGTTTTATATGATAAATGTGATCAGGCGAGCCTTGAAGGTCACTAGACTTTTGCTTGTTTGTGATAGCCCCTGAAAAGAAAGAAATGTTATAGAATCATGATGTGTTGCTCAAAATGGGGGAAATCAATTGTTTCCATGAGATTCATCACTCTTATTTTCTACTCAAATTATGTCATTACAGTCAGAACAGTTCTAGTTTATTCCTAGATTGTGAAATTGTTAGTGAACTTCAACCAAACTTAAAAATCACCAGCAATATGTTTTTGCAAAGATTGATCCTCCAACTGAAAAAAATATTAGTAATATTCGTATAAACCGTTTTATGAGAAAAAATGATAAGGAATTAAAGTAGGTTTGCATCTTTCCCCGATATGGCGAACCGCTTGCAGTGATGGGGGTTTACGCGTATATTTTAGACTATGCGTATACAATGTAAACGATACATATACAATATATACAATGGTGTAGACAATGCATATAATATCATAAGTGTAGGCAAGTTTAATCGCAAACGTCAAAACATTAAAGAACTGATAACTATAAAAACACTATGGTCGGGCGCGCTATAAATAAGGAGAAGTAGTAAGAAACCACGTGTATTACTTCTTGTGATTGACCGTTAACGGTCCTAAAAATCTATATGTTGATGACACTAAATGAAATCAGGCATATGAGTTGATTTTGTTCCTCATTTATTTAAAACCATAACTTTGCATATATAAATAATAAATACCTATATTTATACCTTTTCTAGTTATTGAAACATCACTTTTACAAGTGTTGCATATATGCGTATGGAAATGACCTAATTGAACTATTGTTTGCTTTGTAAACACTTTCTACATTTCTGAAAAGAACATGTTTGCTTTCCGTCTCATGTGACCATGACCAACCACACACAGTACTGCCTCATGCTCATTAGCAACTCGTCAGTGCTGTATAGGTCTTGGGTCTGCTATTTTCAGTGATATCCATTTATTTTTATATTGCACGAGTTAGGAACAAATATATCTGTCCGACATCCGCTAGGTGGCGCTGTCATCGCGCACCAAGTAAATACAAAAATCTTATTGCATTTCGAGGGTTGCTAAAGAATACATTTTTATTTACTTATTTATTTGGTACATACAGGAAAAGGTCCTAAATAGTACAAAAAAGTATAGACAACACTAAACACACACATATATATATATATATATATATATATATATATATATATAAAGGTTAGCGTTCTCTATATATTTTATGACAGTTTAGCAACACTGCTTCGGCACATGCAGAGCCATCTATGAGCGAATCGCCAAACCAAGGACGGTCCGCACATGGATCGCTGTGTTTATTTGTAAGCCAGTATTAGTCCAAGAGTCGACCGCAAGGTTTTGGTTACCTCGCCCAGTGATATGGAATGTTGAAAACTAGTCAAATCTTACGTATTTTAATGCTAAACAGTAAACTTGCCGAGTTTGCTGTTTATCATCAAACTACGTAAGATATGACTAGTTTTTATAGTATCATACCGGTACGCGGCTTCACTACTACAGGGTGGCCGATATGTAACTGACTGGTTTGTATCTTGAATATTTGTGAAATGAAAAAAAATACGTCCATTTTTTCATCATAATATTTTATTGAAACTTAGAAACTATGTATGAAAAATAATATCAGACAAATGCCCGTCTCTAGAAGCTGCGCTGCCTGAGCCCGCTTGATTACATTTTCCATCACTTTTTGGTAGATGTTGGGAGGAATATTTTCATTCGCTTCCGTAATATTGTTCTCAAAAAAAATCCGTTGACCTTGGTGGCCAGGTGACATCACCAAATCCAGAAATTAAACGTCCCGGAAATATTGTTCGCAAAAGATTCATTGCTAGAACCACATGTTTTGCAGGTTAAATTGTTGGATTTGATGAGTCAGAAAGTCATATCACGGTACCGCTCGCCAGTGACTTTAAGAGAATTACCTGCAGCGTCTTCCAATAAGTAAGGTTCGATGCCACCTATATACCAAACAGTGCACCAAACTGTGACTCGACATGATGTAGTGATCGTTGATGGATGACACGAGGGTTTTCTAATGCCCAGATGCAATTCTTTTTTTACATAAAATAGTGCAAACACGACCTGACCTTGGCAAGTCTTTAACTTCACTTGTTTGTTCAAATTTTCGCGCCAACTGACGAATGACGTTGACACTGGCCACATTATTTCGACCAAAATCTTGTCGTAGCTTCCGAATCGTTGCAACAATCGACTCATTATTTAAGTAAAACGTTTTAATAATACGGACGCGTTGCGGGATCGTGTAGCGCTCCATGATGAATTGGACACATGTGCTTTAAACAACTACTACTGCGCTACCTACTGAAATGCGTGGTATCAAAAAGAACGCGCAATTTAAATCAGTCAGTTATGTATTGGCCACACAGTATAATTCATGGCTGCCAAGGCCAATAGGGGCTACATCTCTTATTGGACAATTCATAATGACATGATAGACGAGGTTTCGCTTCGTCTTGTAATTGAGAATCAATGGCCATATCTGAATTTGCTACGGCGACACCTGGATAGTAATTTACTTCATTCGTTTGTTTCAGGAATAACTCCAGTAGAAGGTACCGAAGAGACAGTCCGCGTGGTGTCCATGGATAAAGACTTCCACGTGGACTGCTACGTATGCGAAGAGTGCGGCATGCAACTGACGGACGAACCTGATAAGCGGTGCTATCCTCTAGAAGGAAGGTTGATGTGTCGCGGCTGTCACATTCAAAATCTGAGGCACAGCCCTAGACAAATGCATCCCGTCGCAGCCACTTATCAGTATTCCGGTTAGAGTTAAGTTAGACGCGATACCATTCGATCACGGTTGGAGGTGGCGGATATTTCACGAACTGTGATTTAGTAACTGATATTTTCAAATCACGAATCACGACTTTTACCAAATACCGTACAGGATCATGGCGCTAATACGTGAGATGCCATGAGATTATCATGGCCTGCAAGCGATTTAGCTCTTTATAGGTTTTGGTAGCTCGCTGATGAAATCGCGTGGATTTCATCACGGTGTTTTGCTCAGGATATGGGTTTACCCATAACCTCAATGCTATGTTGACGTCACGGTTTTAAGTCACTGATGTTAAAAAGATATCACAGATGTCGGAAAATTACGATATCGGCTATCTCTAATCACGGTTATAAATCGTGTCATTCTGTCATTTATTTTCGCATCATTCTCAACTGTATAACGTCTTAAAGGTGGCGCTGCGCATTTCGGGTTGGCTGGGATACATCATTAACGTTCAGGGGTCCATCAAAAAATGTGTAAAATTATTTTCTACCGATTTCTGTGGCTTTTTGGGCTTCAAGATTGAGTGTTAAGATTGAAGGTGTATATGGTTGTAGTTTGTAGAGGAGCATGGATTTTTTGTGAGAAAAAAGGCAGATAATGGTACCTCAAGGTGACACGTCCCTTTTTTTTCAACTACCTGTTTACAGCAGTAAAAAAATGCATTTTTGTGCATTTTTTCTTCAATCGGAACTTGTTAACAAATATAAGTACAGCCCTGAATTTGTGTGTGAATATTTCTCTTTTATGGAAGAATGAAACAGGTGATTACTTTTATTCTTACCACTTTTTCTCTTTGAAAAATATTTGATTTTCTTGAAGCCTCGTCTCGCAGCAAGTTGAGTTTCCAAGAAAAGCAAACAATTTTCGAATAGAAAAAGTGATCAGAATAAAAGTAATCACCGGTTTCATGCATCTATAAAAGTGGAATATTGACATTCAATTTCAGAGCTGTACTAATATTTGTTAACAAGTTACGATCGAAGAAAAAATGCATTTTATGTTAAAACAAAATTAAAAACGATGTTACACAAAGCGAAAAAAGGAAGTGCGACCTTAAGGTGAACAAGATTTCCAGAACAAAAACATAATCCCACATTGCCATACCTACTGATCACTATATACCACTAGTTCATAACTCTGTTGCTTATCTAATCCTACAGGGTGAGTTTTTAGGTTGGGTTGCCCCGTTATTATAACAGGTATCAAAAAGGTTTTTCCAAAAAATAATTTCAGATATATGCTTTTACTTTGAAAATATGCGTCCCTCTACAGAGTGGTCTATAGCTCCGTGGTGACACAAAAACTTTTTTTCTGAGCGTGTTAGTATACCCTGATTGATGCCTTGAAAGGAAGAAGTTTTGATATACGATACTATAGGGCTTCTGAATCGATAGGATATTTTATCCGAAAAAAAAAACACAATAACTTGTGTCAGCTTTACAGATAGAGTAGCGAATTTTTAGTCAAAATGACCCTCACTTTCCATTTATTATCGGTATTGAAACTTTTTCTAGATTTTAGGTGTTTCTGAACGCAAAATGCACATTTTCTCAAAGAAAATCAAATGTAGACTTTGCATATATTTATTTGGGCTGTACTTTCTCAAAGTTTATTTTAGTATAAACTTTTTGGGTAGCTAAATCAATATAGAGTTATATGCAATTTCCAAAAAATTATCCAAAGAAATATGCACAATATTCGTGAAAAGGGACGGTTATTAGTGGAACTTTTTTTTTTATATTTATAGTTTTTGTGAACAACTGTTTTGTATGAGTTTTATAATAACGGAGCAGTTGACAGATCACACACTAAAAACCTACTTTGTAAGTATTAGTCGGTGTCGTGCACTGTTAGCATTCGTGGTTACTACGGCGTTCCATAGATGGCGCTGAGTGCAGTGACTGTCTTTGTGTTGTAAATATACCGAATAGAATTTGAGTGGCTTTATTGGGTAGCTTTAGATGCCACAGGTGCAGTAGAAATTCAGGACCGCTTTTTCAATCGCTGTTTAACTTTCAAATTTGGAAACTGCAACTTGTAAGTTAACTAGCAGTTTTCCGTAAATTCTTTTTCCAAGTTCTGGTTAACTAACCCGTACCTGTTGATCTGGCGCCTCTGCTTTTACGTCTTAACTATTATGCGCCTTTTGTGACGCTCGATGATTGCCTTTTGTGCCATCCACAAATTGTGTCACTGTCAAGCAATAAAGTATTGCAACTTACTATTCATCCCATAGGTGGCACTTTTGGTTTGAGGTAACTACCGCATTTCGACAAACTTGATATTGAAAAACGCGTTCTGAGTTATAACTTTTGTTTATCGGTAAAATTACAGTTCTGGTAGGAAAATGTGCAGGCAGGTGAATGCCTTTTCAAAATTATCACATCCGTAAAATGTTCAAATGCCGTTATTTGAATAGAAACACTGATATGATGCCTAGATAAATAAAGGGATGATATTCACAACAATCTGACGCAGTATCCAGTGATAGTAGATTTATTGAGGTCTAGCTGGACAGTAGGGCCTTTGTTAGGTAGGCCATGGTTATTTATCACATTTGCTTCCACTCTGAAGCATTTATACATTTGCATTTTTTCTTTCGGAATTCCACATATTTGTGATATGATTTGCTAAGAATTTTTTTCATTTTTATATATTTTGCATTTGCGCAGATGCTTTGCAGAACCGTCTTGTGTAGGCGTGAAGCAACATTCCATTATCAAGGAGCCTGCCACTAAGAATATACTTTTTTATAATGTATTTATTGAATATCAGATTATTTTTAAACGAAGCACACCACGTTGATAGTTACATAAATGTAGGCGAATTAAGTATTATACAACGTGTTTTATCGTAACGTTGTATAGAATCGCTTTTCATCGACGTATTTATTGGGTGTGGTTAGGTTAAGTTACGAAAATTCTATGAACGTATGAGGTTCGATTTTAATAAACAGTGAAGCGTTGATGTTCTCTTGTATTTTTTACCTTTTTCAGTGATGTTTGTCCAAGCACAGTAAATCGAATGCGATGGTTGCCATTGTTATAAATGAAAGGGTAATTCCTCTTTGACCATCCCGTGGTAACTTAATAACGTTTGAATAGCAAGTTTTTATGGTCTGTGGTTTTAATACGTTTGTTCCGATATTGTAGTGTTATCTGATGCTACCAGCTATTATTAAAGGTTGCCGTTAAACTGATTCAGAAACGATAGTGAAATTACTTTGAAAGTAAAAAAAATGATTTGATGGATTTTCTTTGCACATTTCTGGGTTGTTGTAGAATCTAAAATTGTAATGATAATAATGGTCGTCAGGCAAAGCCTGGCAAAAAGGCTCGACCATTTTGCTGAATATACTGGTCTAGGAAGTTGTATGTTGTCTTTCAGCCTCTAAGAAGATAATTTCACTTTACTTCACTTCACACACAAACGTCTAATTTACCTCCCTGCAGTCGTCTGATACCGCGCCTTCCTCATTTTCCTGAAATATACCTATTCCTTCAAGAGATGATTGTGACCTGTCATCCATTAACACCCAACCTAGGCTTGAAGCCCATGCAATTTAGCCCGGCGATCGATCCTCTTATTGCTCATCACTTCACACTATCTAGGGCTCGCAGCTGAGTCACTTCTCTAAAATTGAACGCTGAAGAGCATTAGCATGCCCTTAGGGATCAATTATTGAGCGCAGTAGGATGATCCAACATTCTTACAGCTGTTGGCGTTTATCAAACAAGTATGTGAATGTATCCATTTTAGGCAAAATTCTACGTTCATAGGTTCTTCATATGATTAAACGTTTCATTTTAAAGTCTTTTGAGACGCAGATTTTCTCCCGATAATGACTACATACATATATTTCTCTTAAAGTTGTTTTATTCTACTCCCTCATTCCAAGAATGGACCTTCGGGGCTGGAGAGAGATGCCACATCTTTCAGTGCTTGTTGACTGTCAAATAAATAAATAAATTAAATAAATAAATAGCGTTTATTGCCCAATAGTTAAGGAAAGCAATTACAGGACAAGCCTAAGATAAATTAAAATAGCAAGAACAGAAAACACATAAAAGCAGGTGATTTCATCTAAATAAAAAACAAACAAGAAAAAGAAGCAAAAAAAAAACATATTTCACTCAGGTGAGTAACATACTATATCATAAATTATCCAAGCAATTTCTAGCTACTCCCAGAATGCTGTTCAAACTTTCAGCATGTAAAGGGTGTTCAGATAGGGACGCTCGATGTTTGAACGGCGCGCGCGCCCAAACCGGTGGGGATACAGCTGTCAAATTTTGTGAGGTTATTAAGTTAGTCTTGACATTTAATCATGGAGCAGTACACGATTCAACAACGCGTGGAAATTGTGAAAATTTATCATCAAAACAGATGTTCGGTTCGTGAAACGTTCCGTGCATTGCGTCCAATTTATGGTGCGCATGGCCGTCCTGCTGAGTCCACTATTCGACGTCTGCTCAATAAATTTGAGAGAACTGGCTCAGTGGCAGACTAAACAACACCCGTACGGCAACGAACAGTAAGAACAATCGAGAATATTGCTGCTGTGCGAGAGAGCGTGCGTCAAGACCCGAATCAGTCATTGCGGCGACGTGCACAAGAACTTGCCCTTCCAAAGACCTCAACATGGACAATTATGCGTCGAGACTTGAAATTGCACGCGTACAAAATTCAATTGACGCAAGAATTGAAACCGCAAGACCATGGACAGCGCCGTACATTTGCCGCATGGGCTCTAGAGCAGTTGCAAGTCGACCCTGCATTTGCACGAAAAATCATCTTCAGCGACGAGGCGCATTTCTGGATGAATGGGTATGTCAATAAACAGAATTGCCGTATATGGGCTGACCAAAATCCTGAAGTGACTTGCTCAATTGCTATGCATCCTGCTAAAGTGACTGTATGGTGCGGTTTCTGGGCTGGCGGCGTAATCGGTCCATATTTTTTTGAGGACGCTATGGGCAACGCGCTTACGGTCAATGGAGATCGGTATCGCGCCATGATTAGTGATTTCCTGTGGCCTCAACTGGACGATATGGATCTAATAGACATCTGGTTCCAGCAGGACGGCGCTACGTGCCACACCGCACGCGCAACGCTGGATTTACTGCATGAAAAGTTCAACGGTTTCATTATTTCGCGCGGCGGCGATGTGCACTGGCCACCAAGATCGTGCGATATAACGCCTTTAAACTTTTTCCTGTGGGGCTACGTGAAGTCTCAAGTGTATGCGGATAAGCCACAAACAATTGCAGCATTAAGGGCCAACATCATTCGCGTCCTCGGACAGGTAGACGCTGAAATGTGCGGAAAAGTGCTCGAAAATTGGACCATGCGAATGCACGCTGTACAGCGCAGTCGCGGTGGCCATTTAAACGATATAATCTTCCATACATAATGTCGTCGAATGCTATTTACGATCAATATAGACTTTTAGTGCTGACTTAAATTTTTTTCCTTTTTTTTCCAATTAACTTTCGAGCGTCCTTATCTGAACACCCTTTATATCACGATAATTTGATATTGCATTGAAAGTTTCACACATCACATATATGGGTGCCTTCAAAAATAAATTTGTGCGAGCCCTGTCACAATAGTTCTAGTAGTCACAGTTTTAGCCGTACGAGTTTGAATAGATGGAACATTAAAGTTTATTTGAGCCACAATCTCATTAACATCAATTTGATTGTGCAGTAGTGTATGCAAGAACATGATTGATGCACACTTCCTTCTCAGTTGTAAAGACTGCACTTGGAACTTGGAACCTAGACAGTAACAAACATTCAGATATACCACGTTCAGGATATATACGGTCAACTTTAAAAGATAAAAATTTTAGAAACTTTTTCTGAACATGCTCAAGGGAATCAATGTAGCAGTTGTAAATTGGGTTCCAAATTAACGATGCATATTCCAATTTCGATCTAATATATGCAGAATACAAAACCAATAGTGACTCTGGGCTGCTAAGGGTTCTACAGTTTCTCACAATAAAACCGTACGTAAGTGGAGCGAAAAATTAAGTTTATGCTCAAAAACTACACCCAAATCCTTAATTGAGTGATAACGATTTATGTAAGCACCCCCAATTTTATAATTAAATTTACAAGCAGAAGTTTTCCTGGAAAAGCTGACTACACTTGGACGCATTAAGAAATAAATTATTCTCATCACACCAAGCGACTAGAGAATCAATATCACGCTGAAGTGCAATACAATCAGTATCAGACTCAATAATCCTGAATAATATTAAATCATCCGCAAAGAGGAGCTTATTACAACTTAAATAATGCACAACATCATCAATAAATAAGGTAAACAATAAAGGGCCAAGATTTGAACCCTGAGGCGCTCCCGATTTAGTTATATACTGGTACGACTTGAATCCATTAAAAGTAACATATTGCTTCCTTTCATGAAGATAATTTTGAATGAGTGCTAAAGCTAATGAATGGAATCCATAATTAAAAAGTTTATTCAAAAGTTTGCCATGGTGCACCCTATCGAACGCTTCAGCAAAATCGGTGACTACATCTAGTTGACCTTGCCGATCGACACATTCAATACCGAACTGAGTGAAGATTGTTAAATTAGTTACTGTGGATCGCTTAGTAAGAAAACCATTCTGAAAAGGGGACAGAGGTCTATGAACTGCGCAGTAAATTCTATTATGCAATATTATCAGCAGCAATTTGGAGAAATTCGACAATATTGCTACCGCTCTATAGTTTTTAATATCAGTATTATCCACTGATTTGAAAATAGGTGTCGCTCTAGACAGATTCCAAGTATCAGGGAATGTGTTGGTTTCTATAGTCAGATTGTATATTTTTAATAACGGCTTAACAAAGACATGAATACAATCTTTGACTACGGGGATGTTGTATGGTCCGGCCGTTATTCTATTCTTGAGTGTTTTAGATGCAGCAATAATCTCATTTTCATGAATGTCATTGAAAAATATGTTACCCTGAGTAGGATTCCTGCCGTCAAGATAAGAATATGACCTGCTCCATGCATACTCCAAGAAAATCATGATATAAAATTGAATCTACTCTTTATTTTTATGAAGGAAAACGCAGAACCAATCTGCCAGGTACCATTTTTCAAAATTGTGAATCATTGTAAGTGGAGCATTACTTTGTTACGTATCCTTTTCACATGTTAATGCCCTTACCGGCAGATGGGGGTGGTATAGATGGTAATCAACCTCACTGGGAGATTGCGATGTACAACGATGTTCAACACTGACGTTTCGGTATTCAAAAATAGTTATTGCCGAAGCATTTTGTCTGACTAAACACGAAAATCACCATAAAATTCAAATTATCTCTTTTTTCCAGGTAAAGAAAAAATCACTTTTAGTTTCCGAGGCTCCTGATCATTTTCAGAATTTTTTGTAGGAATTGAAAACTGGGGTTTGGGTGTTGTAGGGGGTAGAGGAAATGTGTCGTTCAGAAAGCATAGAAGCTCAAAGTAATTTATGCGTATGAGACAAAAATGCTTATTTTTAGAAAACGACACATTAGGCGAACGCGAGAATCGTTAACAGTGCAAGCATTGTTTTTTCGTGAATATCACATTTTTGATAACACTGGTGAACAAAATTAAAATGGTTTTTTTGTGACATGGACAAAACAAGGTGGTTAGTATGTAAAACGTACCCAAAAAGCAGGAAATAGCATTCGATTTTTTCTATCATCCACGGTCTTCTTGCAATACGGCATTTTATTTGCTGCTTATACTCGTAAAATATATGCGTGTAGAGTACTAATAAACACTCGAATAAACGTTCATCTCAGAATGTTGTTGTCAATGTTGCTCCTGAAGTATTTCTTAAGACTGTCCAGCAATAATTAGCAAGCAAATTGATACTCCATTTGCCTTGATACCGTTTTTACATAGCCGAAATGCCTTGGTGGAATCGTTCACCATGTTCATCACTTACCGCACCTAAATTTTCCGGAAAAAATCGAAATGAGAATCCAAAAAGTGCATTTTTAGAGACATGTTACATCCCATTCCTTTATAAGCATTAATTAGTTCACTCACAATATCTTTATAATTGTCCGTCTTCACATTGCCTAAAAAATTTGCAGTAACTGATTTAAAAGCGTCCCAAGCTTGTAATTCAGTTTCATTTAAGCACTGTCAAATACATCATCCGTATTTGTGGACCCACAAATATGCCCTCTTTAATTTTTTTTCACTAAGTCTCGGAAATGTTTGTTTTAAATGCAGAAACCCTCTTCCATTTCGATCCATAGCTTTCACAAAATTTTTCATTAGTCCCAACTTAATATGCAAAGGTGGAAGCAAGACGTTTTTGTGATCAACTAGTGGTTCATGAGCAATGCTTTTGAGGCCCGGAATTAATACCTGACTATCCCATTCACAAAGAACACAACAATATTTGGTACATCCAAGCTGCATTCCAAGAAGAAGGGCTATCACTTTTAAATCTGCACATATGGCCCATCCATATTCATTATAACGGATATGCTCTAACAGAACTCGCATATTTTCATATTATTCCTTCATATGAACTGCGTACAGATATTTAATACCGCTTTTAAACTAAGCTTAGAGGAATCAATGAACAGGCGCCAATCATTTGGATCATGTTTCTGTCCTAACTCCCTTTCTTGACGTATACTGTGTGTGAGCTCTTGTTGCCGTTTTCGGTAAAAAGTAATGTTATAGTCAACGCCAAACAAAGTGGCGTGCACGTCATCAAGGTGGGTGTGTTGAAAAATTTACATTGTTGCCAAACTTTTTGTAAAATAATAAAATTTATTTACATATCTAGGTTTATAAGCAATATTAACCTCAAATGAGAACAAAAATAATAGTATAATAAAATTATAGATCTGTACTTGCATAATCATTAAGTATGACAATTATTGATCAGATGACACTATGAAACTACCATATTTAATTGATAGCTTAAAGGTACTGAATAAAAATCCAAATGGGGTCCTCCAAATTTTATGCATGGTATTTATTTTACAGAATTCATACAGAAAAATGCATTCTAAAATTAGGTAAGCTACTGGTGTAAGCTTTTTCTGTACAATAAAGTTAGTCGGAGTTTCTTTCTTCAGCGCTGTCTGAATCTGAATCTTCATCACTCTCAAAGTTGATTATTAAAGGTTCGATGTCTGGTCGATCAAAAATTCGTTCTCTTTCATACCATTTAAAAATTTCTTGCTCAGTATGTCGAACACTATTTTTCCACATGTCTGGAGTAACCGTTTGTAGAGCCTCGTTCCACATATCCAAACAGTCTTTTTCACTGTTACCATCTCTACCAATATGTCTGTTATAGTAACCTTTTGCTATGCCCCAAATTAACTCAATAGGGTTAAATAAGGAGGCAGACGAAGAACTTTGTGCCCATGTTGTTCCGCCAATTCATCAATCACGTATATTTTAGGTGGTTTGTTTCTAAAAAAGCAGTTATTTTAAGAATAGGAATAAACAAAAGAAATATAAACTGTCGACCAAAATATATATAATTAAGAAGCATTATGTACCGAGCAACAATACTCAATAGCTCTGTTTTAAACATTGTGTTTAAAAATGGTATGTTTTGATTTGTCAACCAGTCTTGGATATTTTTTTTTGTCCATGCATTGTTGGGCACTTTGTTCAATATCATGCTGTGATAAGGGGCGTTATCCAGTATAATCATAGATGGACTCTCCAATTTTTCTAATAACTGATGTTGAAACGATTTCAAAAAATTGTCCTGGTTCATCTCTCCATGGTAATCGCTCAACTTTGTTTTCGAAGAAAATATCGCTTCACTACCCTCAATAAACCCATTTTCATTTCCAGCATGTAATATAATGTATCTAAAATATATTAGTTTTAAATTTTATAGTGCAAATTGTGTAAAAGTACATACCTTTTACCATCTGTTTTAATAGCTTTCACGCTTTTTTGGTTTCCATTTTGCCAAGAGCGACCTATGGTCCCATTTTGAAATATCCAAGTTTCATCGAGGAAGACAAACTGGTATAAGGCCTCAACCTTGGCTTGATTGTATTGCCTTAGAAATTCCACCCTTTTCAAAGCTATACTTGGTAGTTCCATGAGCCCTCGTCGCGGATTGTCCTTAAGCCACTTAAATCCAAGATCTCTAAGCAACCGCCTTAAAGACGTGGCACTACCATCAAATAATGCCCTATCTCTTAATCGAGACCATAAAGTTTGTATCGTAACTTGTTCTTCTGAATCCATGTGTAATATGACATTATAATTTAGTTAACAAATTAATGCAAATTTCTGATAAGTTATTATAATAAGATCTTACTTTTGTGATACATATTATAGATCACTTCTCGAATGGCACTTGTATCCAATGTCGCTGTGTTGGTTACACGTTTAATATAACTCCGCTTTTTCTTGGGCAATTCTAAATTTGCATCACTTTTCACACCCTCGGAAATACGACTAACTGTCCTTAAACTAATTTTTAAAGCAGCAGCAACACGCTACAAAAAATGAAATAAAATTTCACTATTATTAATATACATTACATATAATTATTAGTAACCTACCTCTTGAACAGCATTTAAAGGCAACAAAGGCCCGTTGTTGTCCCTTTCTTGCTCAAAGTAGTGCATTAACGAGGCCTCGAGTTCCTTACACCGACTATTTAACTGTTTGGGCATCTTTATATACCAAAATTGCCTTTATCTACTCGTAAAATGAATAATTTTGTTTTGAAACAAACAGTTGTTGATTTACAGTATGCGGGGCCAAAGGATTTATAAAGATTTGAAATGCCACAAATTGATTCAGTGTCAAAATTAATACAAATGTCAGTTCGCAGTTTAAATAAGTTTCAAGGTGACAATGTGTCAACGCTGCGAAATCGGTTTAGTGCGTTTACATGTCGATAAGTGATTGGAGCGTTTGCAAAACATTTTATTTCGCATAATGCGTCTAAATTTATCAGAAAGCAACTTATGTGATATTTTAATAACAATGTTTATATGACTATTAACCATAATAAGAGAGTAATGACCATTTTACAATTTATATATCACATTAATATGAAACTGCAATAGAGCAATTGTTTGTGATAGAAACCTAGGCATTAGGTCGGGGAATTTTTATCGTGATGACGTGCACGCCACTTTGTTTGGCGTTGACTATAGCTTCACTTGACGCTAAAAGTTGTGACTAGGATTTTGACAGATTTGATTCTCGAACTAAGTCATTGAGTTCGCCCTGTGTGATCAAATGTGGCGCTGTTGAACTACAGGTCAAACGAAGGATCGGAAATTTTTACGCTTTCTGTACCATCACTTTCAAAATCGGTGGATTCGACTTTTTCATCCAAAGACCAAGATTGGTCTCTCGGTTCTCCCCAAGCCATTGGTACCGCAAAGGGCATTTCACGATTGTCGCCTCTTAACCAACCTGTTAACAACGTTACACAAGACTTACAACATATATGAGGGGCCCATAGTTTGTCTTGGTCGCCAACTTTATTTCCAAAATAAAGTTCGTATGCTTTCAACACAAGCTGATTAGAAGTACGTTTTTGGGATTTAAAAATTAGCTCTCCGCATTCATAACAAAAACTGTTCGCACTATTTACACAATTTCTAGGCATTGTCCGTAAAGCTAGTCTCGATCACAATAAACTAAAAACAACACACCGTTTTAACAAAAATTAACAGTACTCATCTCAGTACTCTTCAACACAGAAAACGTAACTGACTCGGCTGCTATTAGTCTACTAGTAAACGCAAAATGCTCTCTAAACATAGAGCTCGCATATAATAAACAGGAATAGACAGGTCTTAAGATTATATACGTGCGTCATCGCATAAACGCCGAGAAATGCAGCAATATGAGATGTTACGTACTGTAATTCATAAAAGTATATGTTACCGAATATCTGTGGGTGATAGAAAAATTCTGTTTTTAGATCTGATTTAAGGGTCTCAAAATACATAAGAAACACCCAAAAAATTGTCATGTCACAAATGCTGTGTTTATCTGTATAATAATGGAAACATTTTGCTAGATTTTCAAAACATTTCTGTTTATGATAATAATGGGGTATCCTAATGCGAAAATTGTTTGAAATGGTTAATAAAATTCCACTACGCCCTGTGGTCCGAAAATCGTATTCACCGCGGCAAAAATATAAAAGCCTTAATACCAAAAAACATTTCTAACGAAATGTGTTCTCGAAAACTTAACTTTCCATCAAACAATAGATTCGTCACACATTCGGTGAGTTTTAATTGGGAATTGTTAATATAGAATCGCATGTTTGATTTCGTAAAATCCTAAGTGTTCTTTGGGCTTATAAAATCACTTTAGATTTGTGTATAATTATGCACAATCATGTATCTAAATCTCTATTTATTTTCAAAGTAACAGTTTCATAATTTTGTGGGTCAAAGATCCATATCCTGCATGACATATTGTCCAGAGACCAAGGAACAGTCGAAATTATTCGGCTTAGGGTGCGAACAGCTGCCCCTTCCACCGTATTGTTCAGATTTGGTCCCGTGCGACTTTTTGTTGTTTCCAAACTTACAAAACACACTCGTCGGCTAGAAATTTGAGTCGAATGAGGAGGTTATCGCCGCCACAGAGGCCTATACTTTGCAGACCTCCAGAAAATGTATTTTTCAGATGGCTTAAAGAAGCTGGAGCATCGCTGAGTCAAGTGTAAGCCAACATTTTCGTTTTTCTTTTGTAGGCTAAGCACTTATTGGACCGCCCTCGTACAATATACGGTGAACTGCTGTGTATCCTTGAAACAAGGGCTAATAAAATAATTCCATGGCCATATTTGTTTTTCTCAATTAAAAATTAGTGAGATTTGATTATTTAGAATCAGGAAACAGATTTTTATACCAGTATCACTCATGTTTATACTTTGTCACATCAGGGGCTTTTTTCATCGAGGCTGTAGTCTGCTAGGTCTGGATAACGAGTAACCAACCATTATAATATGGGACGAAATGAGATAATAAAGTTAGGAAATACGAAATACGGGGGGAAAGATGCCTAAACATTGTTAATTTGATATTTTTATTATTTATTTTTAAGTCTGCTTCATCTTTAATAACAATATAATAAGTTGGAAAACTCGCTCTATAATGAAAGAGTGTCTGTGAGCTTGTTCGGCTGTGTGGCTCTTGAAAAGTTCAAGGATATATTCTTATTTGATTCGGGCATATCCATTACTGTAAATAAATAAAACAGTTCCAGAATTAAGTAAAAAATTTATTTAACTTAACAAATTACGTTATTATATAATTTAAATAGTAGGTAACACAAATTTTAACCTGCACTGCGCTTTTTCAAAAATCAGTATTTACACTACTTACATATATATTCTGAAGAGGACATTTTATCTACATTGACAATACAAGGTGTTTTTTCTTTATTTACATTCGTCAATCGAACCTTCATAAAATGAGCAACTATTCAGGTTATTTACATTTTGAATGAATTTATACCATATGAAAACAAGGAAGTGTTCCTCGTGATTCAATAACAATACAAGATAGAGATAAAAGATAAATAAGAACACGTTAGGTATCTAGCCAGCTTGTATAGCCATACAAACAGCGATTTTGTGAATGTATCTTACGATCATATTAGATTGAAATATGATATATTGGTGATATCAACAACTGTATTATAGCAAACACATCAAAATTTTAAGTAAAGCTGTTCTAAATGCTTTTGATTTTTTTTTAATTCGTTACTTGTATTTGTTAATATTGTTTCATGACTATACTTTTCTTCTAAATCATATACCATTGTTGCAGATGCGCATTTAACTTGAAATGAAAAGTTCTCCAAGATTTTATTTTTGTCGTTATTACAATAGTGTTCATAGCATTCCTTGCCATGATCTGCAGATGTTTTGACGAATACATTTAAAACTAACAATTTTTGACAGCTTAGCGTTTGAATGGCTCCTTCACAAGGCCGTACCTTTTAGCAAAGACTGCTTACAGGCTGTGAAAAAATAAGACCACAAGTATTCTCTTTGGTTTCATTTTTTCCGTGCACTTGTAAGAACAAAATGGCAAGAGGATATGTCATAGAACAACTCGAAATTGCTAATATTTGAAACATATTACAAAATAACTATTTACAAGCAATTTAAATAAAACAATAATAAACGGGACATTTACAAAGCGTTTTCATGCTAGTTTGGGCGAAGCGACGTTTCTATTTTTCTGTTTTCTATGGATGTGACGACGTGGAAATTTGCGATGCATGAAAACAAACACACATAAATAAAACAAAACAAAGATGGCGATGCTTCTTAGATGAGGGAGGTGATCAGACGAGCCTTGAAGTTCACCAGTTTTTCGCTGGTCTGGGCCAAACGCTGAAAAAAAGAAAATATACATTAGTAAAATGCTGAAAAGAAACAGATAGTCTTTCAACAATACTGAAGATTCTTTGGAGGTTTTTTTTTGTTTTTTAAATTAGAAGTCGATCTAGCTCTCTTCTACCGTTACGCCAACGGGTTTTGCCCCTCAGAGCCGATCTCAACGCCTGCCAGGCAGACCCGCCTGACTTCGGCCTCCCATCCTAACGGTGTCGAACTTCGTACATCCATAACTGGCCGATACGACCGCTCCTTTGTCCCTAGACTATCGAGATTCTGTATTTATCTCAGGGGGTCTTTCCCAACTCTACTAATCTTAGCAGTCCAAAAACGGGCTTAACAAAGTTTTTTAAGCTCATAGCAGGCGAGGTGCCCTGGTATTTAGGCTTCTGCCTGCGCCGATTCTTGGTAGTTAGCACGAGTCTGATGTCAGACATTTTCCTGTTCCAAATAGGGCTTCCGACGCTACGAGTTTTTGATGAGCACATTTGAAATCAGCGTCTCAAATTATCAGAGCGCAACCTTTTTTGTTCACTTTCGGGAAAGGGGAAATATGAAAACTGTCTCTAAAATTTTATCCTACTGCTATAAGTGGGGTGGGTAATATGAGAATGACTGCACGTCTGGCACTTCCGCCTGGTTGAAATCGAGGTTGAAATTGTAGTATCGAAACTTGTTAGAAATATATTCACGTACAAATCGCCAAATCTGCGAAAATCGAATGTTCAGCAATTCTGGCTTAACAAACATTCGCTTTAGAAAAAACCAATCTCCTCGGAGTCTTGTGAAGCAAGGTTTTAACTTTAGTTTAAAAACTTGGCGACGTCACAAATTATGACTTCTAACCGAGCTGTTGAGCATTGAATATACCCATTTTTAGGGTTTTTTTAGATATTGAATCGCTTGTAACTCGAAAACGTTCAACTTTAGAGGAAATTTACTGGATTCCTTTTTCTGTTCAGGATGGCCCAAGAAACCCCCAAAAGGTATGTCTGGTTGAAAATTATTTTTTTTTAAATGTTCACTAAAATTTGTACCGAGTTACCGAGCAGGTACCTATTATTCCATGTTAAGGGACATTCAACAAATGCGGTTATGAAAAAAGCTGAAAAACGTCTCTCGCAAACGCGAGATATTTGCCTCGCCTAATATCCCAGCATCTGTTCAAAAACGATCACTGAATATCGTGGAAGTCATTGATGGATTTTTTTGGAATTAGTAATTGTAGCTGGTAAACAAATTCCCCACATTTTCGTTAGATTTTCTTCTAAAGCTACAAATTACATTATGTGCATTTATAAATTCGCCTCCCACAATCTGGCAACATCGCAGCAGGTAATAGAGAAGCGGTCATAGTCCAAGAGCCGACCGCAAATCTTTGGTTACATCACGTACGATTAACAAAACTAGTCAAATATTGATCGTAGCGATGTAATTCATTAAAAAAAAGATGAAAATTTGCTGAACCGCGGTAAAATTTTCATAGACTTTCAATGCGAACCGAAATAAGACTTCAGCAAGCTTTAAATTGGAATACTTCACATCAAATCTCCAACAATTGAAGCAGTGTAATTGAGTCTGAAGAGACTTGAAAATATGGGGTAAAGTAATTAAAAGTTTTAACATGATTAACTAATGCATAAAAAAGAGAAGTCATGGTAGAAGGTAGGAAAGAACACAAAACAAACCTCAATTTGAATTACGTAATAGAGCAAAAAGGAAATTCCATCCACTTGTGTTTAATATTTAACACATAGGGCGACACTGAAACCAAAATCGATGCAAGGATACAAAACGTAAAGATACGATATCAATCCTCGAATAAAATATTTATTAGGAAAAAAGGAGTATAATATTCTATGGAACAGCGAAGTAGCAAACTTTGGCGATACTGAAACCAAAATCGATGCAAGGATACAAAACGTAAAGATACGATATCAATCCTCGAATAAAATATTTATTAGGAAAAAAGGAGTATAATATCATATGGAACAGCGAAGTAGCAAACTTTGGCGATACTGAAAGCGAAATCGATGCAAGGATACAAAACGTAAAGAACGATACCAATGCTCGAATAAAACACTTATCAGGAAAAAAGAAGTATAAGGGAAGTACCAAATGTTTCAGATATGATGGTAGAAGAGGTAGGTAAGATCAAAAATTGTCTTATAAAATGCATCCGTTCTAATTTGAAAACACGCTGAGGTTAATGAAGTTGCAGAGTGTATAAAGCGTTTTAGGTTGGTAACGCTACCTTACTACAACGTTATTTGAAGATTATAAACTGTAAACGTTTAAGGACATGCCTTTGCGACAATCTATTTGATTATACTTTTATTCATTAGTGCATGTAGAAGCGCTTCAATAATTATGCAAGATATTGACAGATAATGAATTACTATACATGTAATTGCAGTGATGCAACACATTACAAACATGTATGCGAGATATCTTCATTAAACTTAACGATGACTTTCTTCAGTGGACCTCTTCTGTCCATCACACAATGAAAAAATCTATTGTATAATTTAATGACCATAACTGCATTCGAGTGCATCAAGCACACAGTGGAATTAATGAAAGCACTCGTTGCATAACTTGTTTAATCAACCTAATTTTGATCAAGTATTCACTTTTCGTAAACGAGCCTTGGCACACAAAAATAACATGCTTAAGCTGGATGCTGCTCTGCATCATTTTGACAATGAAGGCTGACAGGCAAATCACCGGCTGGTGAGATGAATAAACGGATTTCTAGTATTGATTTATTTACTCTCGATTGCAAAACCAATGGCAAATGCATCGTTCGAGACTCGTTTTTAATATGAAAGGTCGCATTTGTCATTACAAAATCGCACTGATACATTAATAATTTAATATCGAAATTATAAAAATGAAGTGGAAAAATTAGTAGTATCAGGATACGAAATTTTGACAGGTGTTTGCTTGGGTGGTGAGAACACAAAAGGAGGCCACACAAAACATGTGTGTAGGTGTACTTGAATATTGCTGGATAGCCTACACCGCGGTTTAAACAAATAAACTTAGTCACTTGGAAGACAGATATCAGTAAATAAAAGTCATTGTCTAGTTCATTATATTTCTTTAATTTGGTTTGCACTTTGAAAGTTGCAGCAACTTAAAGCAATGCTCACACTTGTGCGTTTTCCCTTTCATCTTCAAAATGAACATGACCTTGACTTGACCTTGTTAAAGTTATAATCAAAGACAAAGGCAACCACGACCTTTCTGTGTCCTCGAGAATCGAACAGTCTTATTGGGTTCTCTGAATTTTCGTGCCAGATCTATACCAGAAACAACACCTAAAAATCAAACGATTCTCCGAGTTTTTGCCGAGAACTAAAGTCGGCACACTCACCATTTTTACAAATCTGGCAAACTTTATCCCCTTGGTTCTCAGAAACGAATTTTGGTCAACTGAGGACTTTTCTTCAGGAAGTTGAGAAATATATCATACTGAAATTTCAGAAAAATTGACTGGGACCCATTTTCCATATGTTTTGTGCGGAGTGCTTTCAGTAATCTCTTCTAGGGAGCACGAATTTTGTATAAGAAAATGATATGACACTCAAAAGTCTCTCTCTCTCTCTCTCTCGCGCCAGCATCCGTAGCCAATCTAACCTATATATATATATATATATATATATATATATATATATATATATATACTAAGTGACATATAAATCCGAACACCCAGTTTAAATGGTTTTATTTTAATAAAATTTTGTATAAGTACTTAATGAAGCATAATAAGTAAATGATAAAAATTTCAAAATGATTGCACTGCTTTAAAGCCCTTTGACCTTTAATAATGTGTGCATGCACCCTGATGTGCTACGCATTCTCCAACGCGCCTAGGCATGCTTCTGATCAGGTGGTCAATGTCCTCCTATGGTATCTCATTCCAGGCAACCACCAACTCCTCTCGAAGTGCTTCTAGAGTCTGAGGAGGACGTTGCAAATTGAGCAATCTCCTACCCATCATATCCCACACGTGCTCAATTGAGGATAAGTCGGGAGATCTTGGTGGCCATTGTAACAATGTGGCATCATTATGTTGAAAGAAGTCTATTGTGACTCTTGCAACATGTGGTCGGGCATTATCTTGTTGGAAAGTTGGATCTGCCAGGGTGTCAAGATAGGGTAAAAGATGGGGTTCTAGAACTTCGTGGATATAACGCTGCGCGTTCATGTTACCTCTGATGAAGATTAAAGGTGACCTGGAACCATTAGCCAACAGTATGTCTTTCAACAAAAAACTGTGGATTCCTCCTTTCACCACGTCGCCTTCTAACCCTGGCACGACCTTCGTGCATGCCTAAACAAAATCGAGACTCGTCACTAAAGACAATACTGTTCCATTCCTGATCCCAGAGTGACCGTTGTCTGCACCACTCAAGGCGATTACGTCGGTGTTCACGAGTTAAAGGGAGGACCCAGTGTGGCCGGTATGAAAACAAGCCAAAACTTCTCATTCGTCGGTAAACACTTCGCATGCCAATAGGTCTTCCGTGTTCTGCAAACCATTCATTTGTAATGGACCTGGTAGTGGATAAACGGTCCCTTAAGGCCAATAATCTTAGGCGGTGATCTTCACGGTCTGTTGTTCTACGGCGGCGTCCAGTGCCCCTTGCTCTTTGCGTACGACCTTCTCGAAGCCATGCCTGACAACACCTAACCACAGTGTCTACACTTCTTTGCACTCTAACTGCAATTGCCCGAAAAGAAAGTCCAGCTTCCCTAAGTCCCACTATACGGCCCCTATCAAACTCACTAAGTTGACGAAATCGTACAGGTCTCCGTACTCTAGGCATCGTAACCGATCGTAAAGGATGTCAAGAACCAAAATCCGCCAACGTTGATTCTTTACTGCAGCTGAAATATTCACTTTTAGAGCGTTAGTGAATTAAAAAAAGCAGTATAAAAACCGGAATTTCCAACTGATAAGGCTGAAAATTTTTTCACTTGTTATTTACAGTAAGATAAATACCTACATTCACCAACTTTTATTAAAATAAAACCATTTAAACTGGGTGTTCGGATTTATATGTCACTTAGTTTAGTTCAAATAGAAGCTCCCTGAAAGCTGCCAGATTAATTTTTCGAAGTTGCAATTATGCAGTTGCTGGAATTTGCAGGTAATTTTTATACACCTGTTGGCCTATATTTGGTTTTTAAATAAATATTTTTCTGGAGATGAAACAAGAATTAATTCGCGAAATGCAATTTTGTGCTCAATCCATGATTGAAAGCTCATTATTAAAAAATTTCTCACTCCAACGATTCGAAAAACCAAACCTTAAAAAACTACATGCGTTGATTCTGAGATTTTCTCTATTTACACATACAGCAATTTACAAAGGTATACGGACAAATATGAGTATTTACCTAAATACCTTTAGAAAACAAATTGATACTTCATTGCTCCATAAACAAATGCGTTATTAGTAGAAAAACTAAATTCCTTGTTTTTACATTATCTGCAATGAACACAATACAAGTCTGAATATAAGCACCTTTTTATGAGGGAAAAAATATGTAGACAAATTCTTTTCAACATTGGTTTAGTACAGTTTCGTGTCAGAAGAGGATTAGTTTGTGTTCATCAAGTATTGTGGAATAAGTTGAGTGATTTTAAGACCATGCCGCGTGGTCCAGAAATTTCTTTCGATGTGAAAACTCAGATCATTGAGCTGTACAAAGATGGTCAACGTCAAGTCGACATTGCCAAAAATTTGAAGCTGAAGCGTAAAGCAGTTTGGGCAATATTGAACAAATATAAACAAAAAGGTATCTTGGAAGCCTCGGCCTAGAAAACTAAATGCTAGATCAGTTAGACTAATAAAAGTAATTTCGTCCAAAGATCCGTTTAAAGCCCCAAGACATTTAAAAGCCGAAATCGAGACAAAAGGAATGGTCAGTGTTTCTACGAAAAGTATAAGTAGAAGATTAAATGATTTGAAGTTATTTGCACGTCGCGCGTCGTCCTAGTAAGAAGCCGCTAATCTCAAGGAAAAACCGTAAGGACCGATTACAATTTGCACGGTTGCATCTTGATTGGAGCATCTGTGACTGGAAGAGGGTATGTTTCAGTGACGAATCCAAGTTCAATATGTTTGGATCACATTAGACGTCCTAGTGGACAAAGATTGAACCCCGCGTACACTTTGCTCACTGTCAAACATGGAGGCGGGTCTGTTATGGTTTGGGGGTGCTTTTCGGGGTTTGGGATGGTACCTTTACATAGAATAGATGGCATTATGGATAAGTTTGTATCCACAGACATACTAAAGCATGTGATGTTACCCTATATGGAAGACAATATGCCCTTAAGATCAATCTTCCAGCAAGATAATGACCCGAAGCACAATTCAAATCTCGCAAAGAAATTCTTTCTGGATGAATAAATACCAGTTCTCAAATGGCCTTCACAGTCTCCCGATATTAACCCCATTGAAAATGTATGGGAATACTTAGTTAAGCAAATACGCGATAAAAATTATTCAAACAAGGATTAACTTTTTGCCGCTTTAGAGCAAAAGTGGAGACAGATTGGTGAATCTTATATCAAGAAACTTCTACAATCTCTGCCGAAACGATGCCAGGCGGTGATTGATAATAATGGTTATGCTACAAAATATTAACACAAACATGGTTGGTTTTCTATAATTCAATGAACTCTTCTTCTTTTTTCTATAATTGGTTTGACTTGTTTTTGTCCATAGTTCCAGTTTTTTTCAATTAATTTTTTATTGAAGGGTGTCTAATGAATTTATTTATGTATAAGTGAGTATTATGCTATAACGAATTATGTATACAGGTTGGTGTATTAATAAAACAAGTTAAAAAAAGAAATACAGCACAATATTAATTTGTCTATATACTTTTGTTCATTACTGTATGCCTCGCTACATTATTGTTGTTTGAATTTTGATTCATTAAATTTACGTCAGCATTGGTTAAATATAGCGCAAAACGTATATTTAGACAGATTTAGGCAACAGATTACGGATTTTATTACTATATACGAATAGGAAAAATCCATCAAATTTATCCGCATTGTGGGAAAATCCGGACGAACACAAAGATATCTTGCATTGGAAACAATTCCATGTATGAATAAATATTACATTAAATGTTTTTTGTTCCATCAAAGACGTAGTTACTCATTGGTTTCTATATAAAAAAACAATTTCTAGTGCGGAAAGTCCCGAAAATAAAATTTTTCCATAAACAATAGTTCTAAAATTTTTTTTCGTTACGAAAATATATCTTACAAAATCGAAGAATTATATTTACGGGGCTCGTAATTTTCCCCTTTTTTTCCTAAAATGAATATCGGATAGTTCGGAACGTCATTTACAGCAGACCAAGCCAGTTCAGTAGGTAACGAGGCAACATCATATCGTTAACTTGTTTGGAAGACTGTATCCGACAGTCCCTGATAGTAAGAAATACCTTGTTGGAAATGAATTTTATACGCACAGTTCGAACAAAACAAGCAAAAGAAAAAATTTGTTACAAAACCAAATTAGACTATAGAAAATTGGACTCCCTGGTGCCTACTTGAACATATTTTCTATACGAATCGCTTTTTCGAAATATACATCCCTGTCAAGAAAATTTGCAGTATTTTTATTTGTGAAATTTTGGATTGAATATTTGAACTCAAATGATAAAATTTACTCCTGAAAAGCAAACTTTTGTTCTTTGAGAACCCGAAAATGCTAACTTGCATACATGTGACGTTTACTGTTTGAACGAGATCTGTGAGGATGCTGTTGACAGCGGTAGAAGAGCAAGATCGCCGACCGCCTGTCGGTGCGAAAGGATCCCGAGGCTGTTCGTTAGAGAAGTGTCACTAATCAGCCCTCCCCTGAACAGCAGGGCGAAATAACCCAAAATCTATAATTTTTTCGGAACAGCCCCATAAATTTTCATGGAACCCCGTGTTTGATTAACAAATAATAAATAATTGGACCTCCATGAATCAAATGCAATCGGACTTAAGGTCCAACATTTTGAGCTATATACAGGGTCTGTCCGGAAAGTAATGACGGCTGGTCAGTTGTCTCCGAGCACTTGGAGAGACAGGCATTTTCGCGCGACGTGTTTCTGTGGCCTTTATGGAGCGGCGGGAAGAGGTCGCTGATGAAGACCGCGTTGGAAGAGCTTCGACTTCGACAAACACCGATAATGTGACTCGTGTGCGCAAAGTTTTGAACTCAGACCGTCGACTAAGTATTCGTTTAATTGCCCAGATGTTAAATTTACCAAAATCTGTGGTTCATGACATTGTGACACAGCATTTGAACATGCGCAAGGTGTGCGCGAAGATGGTCCCAAAAGTTCTCACCGACAACCAGAAATTGCGGCGAGTGGAAGTGTGCCAAGAAAACTTGAACATGTGTGAAAGTGCCTCCAATTTTTGAGTAACGTAATCACAGGTGACGAGTCGTGGATCGTTGAGTATGATCCCGAGATAAAGAGACAATCTTCCGAGTGGCACACGACGGCGTCTCCTCGCCCAAAAAAGGTAAGAATGAGCAAATCCAAAGTGAAAACGATGCTCATTGTCTTTTTTGACATCAAAGGCATCGTCCACCATGAATTTGTACCTCCTGGACAAACCGTCAACGCCAAGTTTTACGTGGAAGTGCTCAGGAGACTCAAACGAAGGGTCAGTCGGGTCCGACAAGACATCGCAGCCGACTGGAAGTTCCACCACGACAACGCCCCGGCTCACACCGCCTTTCTTGTGAACAGCTACCTGACTAAAGCCGGCATCCCAACGCTTCCGCAGCCCCCCCCGGACTTTTTTTTGTTTCCTCGCCTGAAAAAGCCGATGAAAGGCAAGCATTTTGAGACGACAGAGGGGATCCAAGCAGCATGCACCGCCGCTCCCAAGGCTATTCCGGAGAATGCCTTCCGTGACGCCTTCAATGCTTGGAAATCGCGCAGAAGTAGCCCATTTTGAAAGTTTTTAAAGAATTGTAACGATTGGCTCAATAATTTTTTTTAAATCGACTCAGTCCTATTACTTTCCGGACAAACCCTGTACTTTCTGCTTTAGAGACATTATTATTGTTTTTCGAAAAGTTTTAATAAAAAAATCAAACGATTCACAAGTATCAGATTGCTACTTACGAGGATGAGGTCTTGTACGAGGTTGGCGATGCCACGGTTAGCGATGACGAGGAGACGCGTGATTGGTCCGGGAATTCCTTCTCCTTCGTGTCCGTGATCATGGTGGCCATGGTGGACGTCCACTTCCACTACTCCAGGACCGACTTCTTTCTCTTCGACTTCTTCGTTGGCGCCTGAACCTGCTACCAGCTGGAAACATGCAAAAGAGTGTTACAATCATGCTATTTACACAGAACATATAGTACTTGTCTAAACATTGTCACAACTAGTGGTGCGCACAGGCGAAACAATTCTAAGTGTCTTCTAAAAGTCCTTGTAGCCCCTGAAGATCCACCACTGGTCGAAATGTTTATACTGCTAAAGTAATTAAAGAACGATTGAACATTATGTCATATGTAGGTAATATAGGAAGTGTTGGAACAAGTTTGGTGTTGTTGAACAAAATATTTTGGTTTACGTGTTAGATGCTGTGGGAGGATTGTAAAAAAATGGGTTTAGCAGAATCCCAGATGTTCAAGATGAACACATTCTATCTGTATTATTCCATACTATGCATACAATAAGCCTTATAACTAAAACAATAAGGTGCAATGATTATAATACTGTATTTACAAAACGACCTAGTTACATCGTCGGTCTCGGCACGTAGGTACAGGCGTAAATGACAAATAATCTAAAATCGAGTTACTTCACGTAGTGACGTAGCTGTATATCAGTTCGCTGCTAAGAATTAAAATTTTCTGAAAATTGCCTAAGTTATAAAACTCCTAAAACGATTTTCACGTACCGGCTTAAATAGATTTACGCCTCTGCGTTAAAACTGGTTCTACATCACGTTAGTCTAACAAAAAGAAACAGCAACGTTCAGACTGAAAAATCAGTATGTCATTTTCAATCTCATTTATTGCTGATTTTGGTTTTCTAGCTCTCCTGTAAAATTTGTAAAATGTTAGTTACGCCGGTATGTGCGGAGATCGACGACATAATCATACAAAACTGTACATCTAAAATCTAATTACAAAGCTACTTTGTGTGCTCATACAAACCCTAATTCAACTTTCATAACCGAATACATTTGATATTGTTCTTTTATGGGTTTTTCAAACGATAAACAAATACGTGTTAGTACATAAAAAGCTTTTTATTTTTACATATTAATCGTAATCCAAATAAGTTATTATATTTTGTAATTAGATAATTTTTTTTGTTAAATACTGTCTTGACTCAAGGTGCAAACATGCAGAATTTTAAGCAAAATAGTTGAATTATTTTCAAGACAGTTAAGGCACATGCAAATTGAAAAGATGAGGGCTTGTTGAATATATACATAACGCTTATATGCAATTATATACAGTGTGTGTCGTTTCTTATCAAGTGAGGTGAAGCCGATCGAAGTATAGTAAGAACACTAGCAGAAACAATGTAAAAATAAAACCGTAAAAATGCTATTTAACACTTCGAATTTCAGGCTTATGTACTGCCTCTTTTCATTGATGTAAATGCATACGGCTGTGGCAGTTTCGTCTTATTTTAAGCCTTCTCGCGATTACAATAGGAATGTGTTGTTTTTTTAAAAAGTTCTTATTCATTGAACGGGTCTAGTTAGAAAACTGAAATTCGGAATAATGAAATTGATGCACTAATACTATGTTTTAGCGTAAAAGTAGCCATCTCAGAACATTCTTGCAATGGAATGAGGGGTCGTGTGTTATCTCATTTTGAAGCTCCTTATAAAAGTACCTTATATTTGAAAGTTTAAAAACTACAGTACCCAAAAACTAGCCAAAAATTACCATTGCATATAAGATCTTCAAATTTAAATGCCTTCAAAAATACAATAAGAAATTTCCTCGCTTTATTTATATCAAGATATCTTGGATTTTAAATTTTTGATGTGCATTATCTCATTGCTTTTTAAATTGTTTTTATTATTTTACTGTATTTTTTATACCCACATTTTAATTGTGGCGCTTTAAATATACATATAGGGTGTCCGCAAAGTTGGGGTTTTCCTTTACATGACGTGTAGATCTTGAAAACATAAGCAATTTTTCTTAGTACCATATACACCAATGTCTTAAGGGAACCGAGATAAAGGGCTCTGCAACATCAAAATCAAAAATATCTGAATACCGTCCTGTAGCCGCGATTGGTACAAGGTCTCAACCCGACGGCAGAACTGGGTCGGGGTCAGTGTGTCAGGTTAGTATGCAACCTTCAACCGACGGTTACGGTCACGCGTGTAGATGTAAACGAACTCGTATAATCGATTGCGTTTCAAAAAACAACAAGCACTAGAGACGTGGCTAGAGAAGTGCAAGTATCAAAAACTAAAGTGTGGCAAACGCTGCGTGAAGAGGGGCTGTATCCGTTTTACGTCCAACGTGTACAAGCCCTTCAACGTGACGATTTTCCAGCAAGAGTGCGGTTTTGTCAGTGGTTGTTGCATCAACATGACAATAATCCGGACTTTTTGAAGTGCATATTGGTGACAGACATATTCCTACGTGCACGCGTAATGGGGTGAATAACTTTCGCACCACTCATGTTTGGTCAGTAGAAAATCCGCACGCTGTCCGTCGGGCACATTTTCAACAAACATTTTCGGTGAATGTTTGGGCTGGCATGGTGAACGGTATGCTCATTGGACCATTTATTCTCCCAAATCGATTTGACGGGATGCAATAGCTAGACTTTTTACGCAACATTTTGCCTTCCTTGTTAGAAGATGTGCCATTAAGTGTAAGACAATCAATGTGGTTTCTGCGTCTGCTCGGTAGCGCTTCAACTGATTTCATTTTCTGTTGGAGCGGTATGATTTCGGGCAGAGACGTACTTAGCCCTTCTCGTCAACTGGAGAGTGAGTACTTTTCCTTTATTTTTTTTTACTTGGTCGCCCTCATTTCATTACACATTACCTTTGTTATTCAAGGGTAGTTGTTTCTGAAAAGGAAAGCCCCAACTTTGCGGACACCCTGTATATGTGATCTGCAATTGATTCTCTATGTATGCTACAAAATTTTGTTGCAAAGTGACTTGTGTAAGTACTGTATGTACATTAACACCAAGAAAGTATTTTATTGAATTTTAATCCTAGAAAATAAAGTCAGCATCTCTTAAAATGGTGATAAAGCAGGCTGTCAAATTTGAACGCTTGTGTACATTGAGTGGCTTGTAACCCAATAGCCTATCATGCATTCTTCTCTTGGGAGGGACAGACCGAATATATATACTGTCAAAATTCGGATATTTTTTTTAATTTTTTTTAAACCGTATCTCATTGCAGATTCAGATAGACCCTTCCAAAAGGAGAAAATTGGCATAACATAAGCTTCAAACGTTAGTTGTTGAGCTCAAGATACTCAATGTGCAAAAATGCTCAACCTTGACAGCCTCCTAGTCTGCCATTTTGAAAGATGGTGAATTTATTTTCTTGGGTTATAAATAAGCCACAAAATAAGATATCACATGACCCTCATTCCATTGACAAAATATAGCAAGATGGCGCCCAGCCTTCATCTTGAAATTTGCTATTTTTACGTTTATACGTTTATGCATCAATTTCATCATCTCGAATTTCAGTTTACTAACTTGACCCGTTCAAAAAGTAAGTAGTGGGGCTTTCTGAAAATCAGAAGCGCGAGAAGCATTCAACATGGGTTAGAAAGAGTGCGCCGATGGCATCCGCGACCTCGTACTCGGGTTGCTAGGCAACTAAGTGCATCTCTTTTAACACACGTATTGCACATCTCTCTCACGTACACATTACGACGTCATAGGTATTTGGTTATCAGCGTAGAATCGATATACAAGTATACGAAACGTGTCGATAATCTGTCAACAGAACAATGAACAACATCCAATAAGACCTGATATTGACATCCAAGAGTTTTTAGCTTTTCTTATTTTTCTTGTGATATACCGACGTAATTAGGTCTTCTGAGATCTCTTTCTAGTTGCCACTACTCTAACAAAGTAGAATATCTAAAATAGCAGAAAATAATCTTCTTGAGGATAAACGAAAAGGTCCTTACATTAAGGCATGCATAAATCGGTAACTAATAAATTATCACAGTGGAAAAATATAAGTTTTTCCTATATTATTTACAAAACTATAAACTGTTGGCAGAACGGCGTCAGAGGAAAGTTGTAAAGCATTTAAGTACCTTCAAAATGAGACCTTATTCGCTGTAGCGGGTACCGACTATTTCCAAATTGATTTTTTTTTACTAAAAAGTGCTCAACAGAAAATACGAAATCACAGCCAAAAGTTCATCCTTTGTGGTCATTAGCATACAGAAAAAAAGTAATGAAAAATGCTCAACATTTTCTGTATATAATTGTCACTAAATTTTCCGATGCTAGTGGGTTTCAGGTTTCTTAATCCTCTGCTAAACCACTTGAAGTAATACTTCATAGTTGTCCGAATTTACGCGAAGAAGTAATTTTTCCAACTTTGACGTTTAATACAAAAATATGCCAAGCAAATTTTTTATTTCCAGTCGTAAGACATTTTTATTTACTATCAAGGATATAGTTCCGTTGTAAAATCCATAGATATAGTTTTTTCTCTAGATCGGCGACGTTTTCGGTTAGTTACCCTTCATAAATCTTTTGCTCACTCGCGACTCTCCGGCAATTAAGCATACCTTTGACCATTTCTGACCCCGTAGGACCCTGTATTACTCACAAGCCATCTACTGAGAACTGATTATTGAATAAACCACCTCCAGCGATGCGATGTACCTATGTTGACCTTGCACCGATCTGGTGCGTAATATAGACAACACACAACACAACATCCATGGCTCGAAATGAACTTCCGAAGCGGAGATTTGAACCCACAAGCATTCGGGTAGATCGACTAGTACCTCAAAGCGCTAACTACTCGGCCAACCACCCCCCCCCCGCTTAGATAGGAGGCAGGGTCAGGCTATGTACATGGATGATCAAGACTCCTTTTCCAACTTGTATGAGAGATGATAGTTTTACCTTCAATATTGTACTATATGAGTGAAATATGAATTTACCCAAAGTACCCCACAAAGTAAGAAATCTAATTTAACATTTTACATTTTATTATTAAGTGTTCTGTATCATATCCTTGTGGAACGATTAATTACGTCAGCTGGATTGATGATTGATTTACATTTTTATGGAAGCAATGAAGTGCCAGCAGAGTTAGCCTATAAGCTGCAATA